CCCCCGCCATCCCCCCCATCCCCACCGTTTCCACCAATTCCCCCTCCATTAGCATCACCACCATCTCCTCCATCTCCACCATCTCCAGCATCTCCATTTCCTGTAACGTCACCGCCATCTCCTCCAGTACCTCCTGCACCTCCGTTATCACTTCCAGTAGCATCACCACCATCTCCGGCATCTCCACCATCTCCAGCATCTCCATTTCCTACAACGCTACCACCATCTCCTCCACCACCACCAGTTTGAGCAGCTGTTTTAGAAAAAAAATGGAATGAATAAAATCCTATTTTGATTCACTAAAATGCATACCAACGGCGTAGATGGAAGCACATAAAAATAAGATTGCAAACAATTTCATTGTTTCTTTTTGATAATAAATGAATGAGTTCTCAAATGTTTATTGGGAATACTGACTTTTAATGCAATTATTTTCGACTTTTATAGCAATTCTTTTTTTTAAACTCCTCCCCTGATAATGAATATGTTTGATCGTTTTATCAAATAAATTGTAATACTCATATATGTTCATATTTTAAAAAATACTTCACTTCGATGAGATACATCATTATAATAATAAAAACAATATTAATAATGCTATTATTAATAACAATTACAATAATAATAATAATAACAAATGAAACCCTGGGAGATGGCTGTCTTTGTAGTTGGCAAAGTTCAATCATCTCTCGTCTGATGCATCATTTGCTTAATGCACACATATCTGCTGTTGGCTTCATACTTTCGACTATTTTCAACCTAATGTCATCTTCATGATAGACATGTTGGGACGCATAACGGCTGCTAACAGTTAATGCAATCATGTGGAGTCTCTCATAAAGGAAACTCGTCCTGGACTTGATGAAAATGATTAAATCTCTCTAAAAGTAATGTGCCTAAGACCCAAAAGCTCTATGAAGCAACTTCTCTAAAAACATGAATATTCATGTATTTGAAAAAAACTTTAAAATATAGTGTTATTTTGATCATTCTAATTTGATAGTATGAGTGATTGACTGATTGAAATTATTCGAATTTCTATAAATATTTTGGAATGCTATATAGGTCGGATTACCTTTTCGGCATAGTTTGGAGCTTCCCCATGTGAAGCTGTCCCATTTGCATTTTTCTCTTGTATTTCTAAAAAATCTTACATCTTTATTTAAAACAGCTAAAAATCTGTCACTTTTGTAGCTTAAAAGAAGTAGCTTTAAACAACATTTTATGTTAGGAAATCTGCAAAGAAATTTTTTGGATTTGCGCATTTCCTTTCATTTATTTAAAATAGCCACATAAAATATTCTCATTAAAACATTTATTGTAACATTGTGATCATATATATTTCTTCAAAAAATATCACAGTTTCAAACGAAAATCCAATCATATCACATCATCTTATTTGATATTGTGCTACTGACTTGTTCTACATGCAATTCAAGTCTCGGCTCTGTTGAAACCAATAAAAGTTGGAAAAATCCAAATCCTGTGTGGAAGTAAAACGCAGAAATTTCAGATAAAAATCCACGTGAGTCATTCCAGAGATAATCAAACGGAGCAGATGCCCCGCTTGAGGCTTGAGTTCCTTTGCTTACCTTGTTACCCTGGCATCTTGCTTGGCTCACTTCAATTTCTTTCTAAGCCAAGTTACTTTCCTCAGTCTCGTAATAATTTCGATTATATACAGAATTCCCAAAGTCACAGATGACAGACATACCAAACATATTATTTTGAAATTTAAGTATATTAACATCTTAGGTAATTTCTTACACTCAGGATTTTTACGAGACAGTGCTCAATGAATTATTTTTAATATGAAAAATCTCACATCCATATATGAAAAATTGAAAAATTAAAAAGTAAATTTTTCTGACGACTGGAATCAAACCAGCAATCTCTAATTAACCGGACTAGTGCATTTGTCATTATGCTACGCCAGTACTTGATTACGTTTCAAGATTGTTCTCTCCTCTTTAAACATAGAAAACTTAAATTGGAAAATAACATCAGTAATTGCTTCAAAAATGGATTTAAAGTGAACATGTCTGAGAATTTTAATCTTGAAAATTTCACATGTACATAATATCTAAATTTTCAAAAATGAACTTGCTAAGGAATATCAAAATAACTCAATTACGTAGATACGTTATTTATGAAATTGGTTTTATTCAAATTCATCTTTTATTCATTTCGAGACATGATATCTTCTGTTATTTATATGCTCATAAGTTTTTATGATGTTTTTCGCATATGCTTATGGAAGAGGAACACATACGGTACGACGTGGAGGATTAGAGTTACCGGCATCTCCACCATCTCCACCATCTCCTGCATTTCCATTTCCTACGACGCCACCGCCATCTCCACCATCACCACCGTTTCCACCAATTCCACCTCCATTAGCATCACCACCATCTCCTCCATCTCCACCATCTCCAGCATCTCCATTTCCTGTAACGTCACCACCATCTCCTCCAGTGCCTCCTGCACCTCCGTCACCAGTTCCATTAGCATCACCACCATCTCCGGCATCTCCACCATCTCCTGCATCTCCATTTCCTGTAACGTCACCGCCANTAATAATAATGATAACAAATGAAAGCCTGGGAGATGGCTGTCTTTGTCGTTGGCAAAGTTCAATCATCTCTCTTCTGATGCATCATTTGCTTAATGCACACATATCTGTTATGGGCTTCATGCTTTCGGCTATCTTCAACCTAATATCATCTTCATGATAGACATGTTGGGACGCATAACGGCTGCTAACAGTTAATGCAATCATGTGGAGTCTCTCATAAAGGAAACTCGTCCTGGACTTGATGAAAATGATTAAATCTCTCTAAAAGTAATGTGCCTTACATCTAAAAGTTCTATGAAGCAACTTCTCTAAAAATATGAATATTATGTATGTATTTGCATTTACTTCACATGTAGTGTTATGTTGGTCATTCTAATTTAAGTGCTTGCGAGTGTCCCATTTGTTTGGAACAGCCGCGTAAATTATTCCCAATAAACATTTTTTTTTGATCATATTTGTTCAAAAAATATCACAATATCAAACGAAAATCCAAGCATATCACATTATTACATGTGATATTGTGATATCGATTTGTTCTAAATGCAATTCAAATCAAGTCAAGGCTTTGCTGAAAGCAATTGAAGTGAGAACAAAGCCAACCTATGCGCAAGTGAAAAGCAAAAATGCCAGATAAAAATTCATGTGAGTCATTCAAGAGTAATCAAACGGAGCAGATGCACTGCTCGGGTCGGTTTACTTTTCTTTTTTCAATTATTTACAGAGCTCCTGCACTTAAAGATCACAAATACACTGCACGTATTTATTATTTTAAAAGATGAACATTTTAAAATCGTTTGAATATTGATCTCTCTTCTGTAAACATATGAAATTTGAAAATAGCATCAGTAATTGCTTCAAAATTGAAGTAAATTGAGTATGTCTCAAAATTTTATTCTTGAAAATTGCAAATGTAATAAATTTTAAAAAATAAACTTGCTACGAATGATCAAAATGATTCATTTACGCAGATACATTGATAATGAAATTGGTTTTATTCGAATTAATTTTGTTTTTTGAAATGCTCATTAGGTTTTTATTTTAATCATGTGGAGTCTCTCATAAAAGAAACTCATCATGGACCTGATGATGATGATGATGAGGAGAAATAATGTACCTTACATCTGAAACTTCTTTGAAGAAGCCTCTTTAAAATATGAATATCATGTATGTGCATAATGCTGGTTGTAAGATGCTTTATGTATTATAAAAATAAAGTCAATACTCCGATTAGGTATTCAAGTTTAAAAATATTTAAATGATTCATAATAAATACCTAAAAACTGAACGTGAATTTTGTTGCCATAAGTGTTAATTCAAAATTCTTATTTGAAAACATGAATTCTTAATCTTTATTTCAGAATATTCCTGAAATTGAATAATAAAATTTAATTAAAAAAGATTAACCACGAAATAATCAGCACATTGTCAGAAAAAGAAAGAAATTAAAATTAGATTAGGCTCTATGGAAAGTTCATACTTAATGTAGTGTTTTGTTGATCATTCTAATTTGAGAGTCAACATAGAAAATAAAAAGTTTCATTTCGAATTTAAATTAAAATTTCGTGGAATATTTTATATTCAATAAATATCATGACATGAATATAACATCTTTTAGAATTCTATAGAGATTTTGAATGTTATATTTGGCCACGAAGAAAAGATATGATATTAATTACTCATTCATTTTTTCTTATCTTCCAACAGTGAACGTTAACAAAAAGTGCTGAAATATTTCCTTAACAAAATTTCAAAGAATAAATCATGAAAATGAGGCGTTTTACAATCAGCAATGAAAGTGTCTTTTGAGATGGTTTCCCTTCTGTGAGTTAAAGAATCATCATCCACTGTATTTTGAAAGCTCATGAAAAATTGAAGACTTTTAAGTGTGAAAGATGAAATATACGAGGCGTGTTGGTTACATGTGCATGTTATGAAAATATAATCTTTATTAAAACCGCACATTACTATGTTCATTTTAAAATGCGCAATCTTTCGTTGAGAGTGATAAAATTATGTTTATTTTGCTTCATATGAATATATTTTAAATATTAGTGCATATAATTTATTTGGCAAGTTTCAAAAACGGAAAACAGACAAGAGCATTTGAAAAATTTACCAAAAACTAAAGCCACGAAAATGTATGCTTGAATGCTTTGATGTTGAAATCTCACGTCATTAATAAAGTTCCCGAAAAAGCTTTTGTATCCAAGCTTTAAACATGAATACTTACTCATCCCACTTTTTAAAATTTAATTTATGTCTTTTTAATGTTTTGTGCCATAAAATACAAATCTCAATTCTTTTGTGTTGTTCTTAGAAATCATAATAAATTGTTGATTTTATTTTCGTGCTAAAATGCTTGAGTTGGGAAGAATTCAGGACGAGTTAATGTGAGTAACATCTCATTGAAAAAATAAGAAAATTAATTGATTCATTCCGTTTCAATTATCAACACAAAAGAAAAAGCTTCCAACTTTGTTGATGCATCACTAATTACAACAAATCATAAGAAATTAAGAGTGTTGATTATTTTTCTACTGGAACCTATTTTTCAACGTAATTGGCAGCGTTTTTCCAGTTCATTAAGCACAATCAAAACTTTATGCTGAACAGACTTTCATGACTGAATTAAGTTCATCGATAATGTCTTATGATATGTAATATATTTTGCTAAGAATAATTCACAAAATTTTTATGGTTTTTGTTGCACAATATTTTGCCCCTAAATGTTTTCAACTTTTATTTTCAAAACTTTAAAAAGCTTCAGCATGAGTGCTTTTAAAGCTTTTACAAAAATTGTAAATTGATGTCTACATCTGTTCCAACACTCTTTCCACAATATCTGTGTGGTAAGCTGATCCAAGTAAAAAATCTGACATAGGAGCTTCTAAATGTATGTAAATCCTAATGATGGTTTACGTAAGGCAGGAGAAGCATGAGTTGAATATAAATTTTCATTTTTCACATTTCCGAATCTTTGTGTGCCTTGATTTTACTTTTATGAATATTCTAGAACCTTCAAACGACAATGTATGCATCCTCATGAAGGACAAAATATTCTCTCGACATGCTTACTTAAGATTTTCTGGGCGTAAAGAGACAAAGTGAAAAGCGATATTCTTAAAGAATCATACTTTTTATTTAGTCGTTACGCCCTTCGTGTGATTTTCCTCAACTCCTTTCATGTAAAAAGATAAAAAAAAATACGTGAGAATTTTTCATCATTTAATGACAGTTTAAATGGGATGGGAAAGCTTTGAAACTTCTAAGTCATTTTAGAACAATCTATTTTTAAGACATAACCAACGTATGATAAGATACAGAAAAAACACATTTCGTCATGTTTCGATTGAAAACTTTATTGAGGGGTTTAAATAAAATTTAATGATCCTAGAAAGTTTAATGTATTTTCATTATGGAAAATTTTAATTATTCTACATCATTGGCTTTTATGTGTTATTTCTTCTTAATAAAGAAGTGAAAGTTTCATGCTTCTTTAAGGATTTTACATTCGACTCACAAAAGAATAAACAAAGAAAAAATCTCTTTAAAAATGCATTCGGGTCTCGTATTTAGACACAAATATTACCATAACTGACAGAATGATGAAAAAGTCATTCAGCAACCCATTTATTTACCATAGCTTTGATGTAAACGATGATAGCCAAGTGTGCAATGTGTGAAAAATCATGGCCATCAAATATTCCATCCTTAAAAAATTGGGATTGGGGAAAGGAAAAGCGAAAGAGACCTTTGATGATTCATGAATAATGCATGGTCTTTTTTTTGAGATGAATACGAATGCTTTTGAAAAATTCTCGTCTGTATGTATTACACTGTCCTCTCAATAAATGTTTTTTGAAGAATCGTCGTAACATCCTTCTTCGGATAAATGAGCAGCTTAAGCATTTGATGATTTCTGAAAATTGATTTTGCCATTAAAATTCTTAAAAATGTATTTGGCGTCATGCTTTAAGCGGATAGTACGATAGCATTAATTATACGGTTTCGTCAGTAATTTAGAATTCACATATCATTACACGATTACATGATAGATTAAAATTTAAAACCTTGTCATAGTCTTACTATGTTCAAATGCTTCATTATACAAAACATTGAACGTGTTGGTTTTGCCAATAAGACTTTATGTGGTCGAAATTTCAACATGATTTCAATGTGATCACATTGAGGTTGAGATGTCAATTAGAAACTTTAAGTGAAATGTTTTCAAAGTGCAAAAGTGTAAATTTAATTTTAAATGGATGTTGACTTATGGTAATGAAAGTACTTGCAATCTTATTGAATAGTTTTTTGATGTAAACGTTTTCATTTGCATTTTTTTTACAGATTTAATTCTGTGAGAGCATAAAAAAACACGAGAAAAACTTCACATTTTTCGTTTATCATGCCTTTGGATTTGAACATCTGTCGTTCTCATGAAAGCAAAAATGTTCGTAACAATAAAGTCGTAATGATGTTGTTGTGTGCTACGACGATTACTCGTAGCAAGATTTATTTGGGCATAGATCAAATAATGAAAAAGAAACTTTTCCTCATTCTCGTAACTGTAAAAATAAAGAAAATCTCGAATAAAATAAATAAATGAACAGAGAAAGAGAACATCATTAAAATCTTGACCCTCCGAGCAAACAATCTCTCGTTGTTTAATTTTATTTCGTGTGGTTTTAATCAGCCCTCAAAACAAGCCCCCATAAAGGTTAAAATTTCTCTTTCTTCACTTTAAGTAAAGAATTTTCTTGGTCAGTGAGAAGTTTTTTTTATTTTTCTTTGGCTTCGTTCGGTTCTTTTATGATGGCAATTTCTTTTCTACAACCCAAAAAGTTTTCTTTACAAATAAACTTCAGCTTAGATTTGGGCCAAACGGGATCTTTGAGAGTAATTACATTCTTAATATCTTAATCTTGGGAAAATATCAAAGATTAAAATTTTAACGAAATCAAAAGCAGAACTTTCTTAACTTAATTTTGTCACTTTTTAGGCTGAGGCTGTGAATGGGGTTAAACGTTGTTGTTGGTAGTTGAAGAGTTTCATTATGTTACATGCATTTACTACAATAATTACACTATTAAATGATTTAATTATGTCAAAACCTTTTCTAGAAAAAAAATTCTAATTTAAACATTCATACAATGTTATTAATTAAGAAGTTGCTTGGAGAATTGCCGCAAGATTTTAATTCTTTTTATTCATATCGTGATCCATTGCAAAGATATCCCATTTCGGCATAAATTGGACAACAATTAAAAAGTATGTTGAGAAAGCTGACAAAATCTAACCAAGGAAATTAATTTTTTAATGAAAATAATTTAAATAAATTTGAATTTATGAATCTATTTACCTCTTGAAGCGTTCTGTTTGTGACTTCAAAAAAACCTTTCACAGTGAATTGCAATTTCAACGACATTAATTGAAGTGAAAATTTCTGCACTTTTTTAAAGTGAAAATCGCTTTTAATGTTGTAAGTTGAAGTTTGATGGAGAGCGAAAGAAATGTTTTTATATTCATTCACAGCTTTATTGCAAGAGTAGAAAATTCCAATTAAGGAGACTAAAGGATGTACACAGAGTAATGACGCTGCTACATAATGATATAGACAAGAGATTCTTATAAAGTTTTTTAATAAAATAGTTTCAATCTTAAGTTACATACGAATAAAATGATAGTTGAAGACTGCATGCAATATCCTGATGTAAACCCAATAGATGTCAATCACAAACACGGCAAGTTTTGTTACTACCGACAACAACATTTCATATGCGAATCTATTATTTATCAACTCAGTTAAGTGCCAGAGATCAAAAGATGTTTCTTTCAACATCGTCAATATTGACAAATGATATGCATTGCTGATACTTGTGTCAATAAGTTTATGTTGAACCATTATTGAAGATTTCTCAATAAAATGAACATGCGTTGCATAATAGAAATCGAACATATTGACGAGCACGGTTGACGGGAAAATGTAAATCATGTGTAGTCTCCAAACTACAATCAATTGATTCAAAGCCAAAATCACAAACGTTTATCAAAACCAAACCATTTTTGAATATTAAAGCGACTCACCCGGTACTTCTTCCAACATGACAATGACAACAATGTAAATTATTGTGTCAACAATAAATAAGAAAAAGAATTTGACAAAGGGGAAATGTGATACATTAGTACGAGATGTATTATTTAGATTTAAACGAATTTTCCGCATCAGCATCTTTATTTTCCGCTCCTTTCGTCTCTTTACAAACGATTCGACAACAATACAGAAGTGACATAAAAGAGGTAGAATCATTTCGATGAGATTTGTAATGTTTCCTAGAACATCGGGATGTTTGAAAAGCTCAAGATGAAAGTTGTATTGAAATTTCAAATTTAGAATAACATAAACGACGTGAAGCACAACAAAAATTTTTACAAATATCTTTTCACAAACTGTTGGAATTGAAAATAGGCTTCCTTCAACACAATCAAAAGCACAAATTTGATAAATTGTTGGAACAAACTTCATGATTGCCAACAAACTAATCAGTGAGGGAATATTGAGAAAGGAAACTTTTCCTAATCATTTTAATGGACTTTTTTCTTATGTGGGTAAATTGATTTTAGGAAAATGACTGGGAAACTTTCAAGATACAAAAAACTATAATTAACTCATTCATGAGTGATAAGCTAATTACAAATGTCACTGAATCGATCTTGTGGTTTCATGCGTTCAATTTTTTTTTTAGTTGTTAAATTCTGCTATTAAATTGACTTTCTTCCAACTATACAATCAATGAATGCATTTAATTATTATTTAATTCAATTGGATAAGCTTCCACAAAAATGAGAGCTTGATAAACTTAAGTTTTCTATTTTAGATTGACAACAAAGAAAAATTATTTTCATCATAAATTATTATAAAATATGTTTTAAAATTGTAACGAAAACAAAATCTGTGAGTTATTTAAGAAGATAAAATCCAGATTCATATAATCAAGCAATTTATGTTTCCATTCCGTTTCTGTTTTCATCTTTTAAGATCAATGAGACGGAGAAAAGAATTTCCATTTGTTGAAATTTCTTCCAAAACCAAAACCCAAAACTTCAACTTATTGCATTTGATTTATAGAGCTTTGATTTCGTGCCAAGTGTAATACAATTTTTTCTCTAAATTTTTCTTGAAATAAAGAAATTGTAGCAGTGATGTTGTAATTTATAACTGTCACTGCACAATTTTATGCTAAACCGAATTTTTCAACTAAGCAAAGTTGAATGTATTAGCGATTCCGTGGAAGTTACCGAACTGACACTTTTATTTTCACTTCAGATATCAAAGCATTTGAAAAACCTTTGACGTGTTTAGTGCTCTTCATTTTTTGATCGACATTAAAGCTTATACCTGAGCTTATGTTTTCGTTTGCTGCAGGGGATGTAGGTAACATTTTACATAAATTTATAACGGTGAAAAAAGGATTTTGATATCAACACTGATGTAAATTCATACAAAATCTAATGCTTGCCATGATTTATGATTCTTTTTCTTCCATTTTTTATTCGTTGAGATCAGTGGTAGGAGAAAAGGAAAATGAAGTGCTTTTACATGTTTTCTTCTTTTTATTTCGAACATTTTAATGTCAGTACATTTAAATTTTTATTTTCCGCGAAGTAAAGTTTTTTAGGTGATTTCTAAGTTTTAAAAATGTTGAAAAACAATTAATGTGAATATTGAATAAGAAAATTGGCATGAAGGTAAACAAATTTGTACTAATAATTGAACAATTAACAACATAAATGTGATATGATGTAGAACAATTGTGTGAATTAAGCTACCTAAATGTCAGTTTTATTATTATTTGAGTTATGGATTGAACATTAAACAGCTGAACATTCCAATTTGAGGGATTATTTATTTATTTGTTCATATCAAGTAAATTGTATAATTAAGAGCTTAACAATTAGAATAAATATTTTGTGGATAAAATCACGATCATTGTAAAACAAATTCGTTATGATATTAAATTTTTGATCTAATATTTAAATTACTGAAACAAATGAAATTTAGCGTCTATAAATTGTTAATTTTTTAAATTACATTATGAAAGTGTAAATAAGCAAGGAAAAAATCTCTTTCAATCCATAACGAAAGTTGCAAAAGTTCTTTGTTCACTCGCATGTAAACTATTAAAGAAAAACCACAAGTGAAAGCTCAGTTTCTCCTAAGGTTAATATCCAATAATTTTCTGACAACTACCGCTCATTTTCAACAAATTTATGACATCGTTTGCAAGAGTCGTTAGACGCTCGTTGTGGCTTTGGATCCTTTTAAAATTCTTTGTCATCATCAAGCTTTCTATAACACATTGAAGAAAGAAAGCTTCATTGTAAAAGCATGCGATGTGTCGCTTATTCACTTCTTCCATCTACTGTTTAAAGATTTTCCTGAAATGAGAATCATTTTTCGCATGTAAATTTTCTTCACACATGCAAAATATCATAACAAAAGCCGAAAAACTTTCCCTAACCCAAAATGCTATAATCATAAAGTTTGTGAAAATCATTGTTGAGAAGTTAAAGGCACCGGAATATGCGAAAATTGAGGAGGATTCATTTTTGAAGACGATGAAAAGGTCACAGCTGCTCAACTATGGTGAAAAGTTTTTGATAAGGCAACGACATTATGGATTTGGCTTTCATACTTAGATTAAGATTTCCCATTAACCTCATGTCGTGGAGTTAAAAGAGTGAATATTCTTCATTGTCAAGCAATCAATTAATCATCTTTTGATTAGGTTTTGATTATATTATAATCATAATACCTAAATATAAGAATCTCAAAAGATAACCAATTGAACAAGGAGAAATACTTGGAACTAATATAATTAATTCTTACTCAAAGGGTGCTTTTTATTGAAATCACACGTCAATGTAGCTGAATCGGTAAAGCTTTATCGTTTGTGAAATGTTTTGAAAACTAATCTTCTAAAAAGTTTTCTTTGATTGAAAAGTTTTACGCTGAGGATTTTCCGCTATAAATCTTTGATAAATTTATCATGCGGAAGAATGAAAGAGGAAATTTGTTGAATGAAAACTGCCATAATTTAGCACAATGAAATGCCTACGTTCTTCCCCATGCTGCGAAAAACTCATTATTTATTAATTTCTCTGAAGCCGAGCTAATCTCCTTAAGAGTGAAATAAAAGGAAAGAAAAACTTTTCGCCTCATCGACGTACGATAGAATTCTGTGAGAAAGTAAGAGAGTAAGTAAAATATCGCAACAGCTCATTGAGTATCATGAGAAAGCAAAGCGAACATGTGGAAAAGTCTTTAATGAGTTTTTTGGTTCTTTTGTGGCATGGAAACCCCAAAAAAAGTGCTTTACATTCATTAAATTGCTTCAAGCTTTTCCTTCCATTTTAAAAGAAAAAAGAAAGTGATCAGAAATGAGTTGCACACAAACACAAATTTCCTTCCATTCATGACGGTGCGAGAAAAATCCTCTCAAGCGCGAATTAATTTAACTAATAACCGAAGTCATTAAGAGTTGAACGGAGGAGAAATTGAAAAATGTTTTATGATGTTTTTTCGCTTGTTCTGTGTATTAAATTATCCACAGAAAGAAAAGCTCGTGAATGAAAAATATGGAAATTTATAAATAATGAAATTGTTATGTTACTGTTAGGAAAATAAATTACTATGAATGAATTAGCTTCTGGCGGCGACGAACGAGAGGGAATGGATGCTTAGACGCGAATTGTGTTTGGAATTTAAAGGACTTCACGATCTACGACCGACGAGTGGAAAATGTTTAATTTAATGTTGAGAATTTCCTGATAAAACTCGGCAAATTTCCATTCATTACATTGCGCGTTATCACCTCATATTTAAGAGAAGTTGACAGTAATAACGAGAGGTAAAGTATTCAATAAATGTGTCGGCCGCAGGCATAAGAATACTTATAATGTTTCTTTTTTCCTTGTCAAATAGAATTAATTTTTTTCTTCGTTCTTGAAATATTATCAGTTATCTAAATGCCTTAAATTTCCCTCTCTAAATATTATGAAAAAAAGAAATTTCATGAACAATCATTTTTCTTTAGTTCTAATTCCTTCAGAAAATAATGTGAAAAACAATTATTATGGTAAGGCTGTAAATCATTTAGATTGTGATTTCATTGGGATGAAATAAGAACATTATTTATATTTGAAATTAATGACGATCGTTGTAAATACCGAAAATTAATATTTTTCTTGACGATTTTCGCATTTTTTTTTCATCAAAGAAAATTAGATGGAGAAAACATTTTTCTTCAATTATTAAATTTAACTTGTAAATATTTTTTATTTTTCTTTATTTTCTTTAAGAGGTCAATTTTTTAAAATCATGGATAAATTTTCTTCAATAAACCTAAAGGAATAAAAAGGAACTAAAAAATAAAACTTCAGCAATAAAATTTCTTCGGAGGAAGAGGAAACTTCACTAAATTTTTATCTCAATGCGATATAAAAAGTCATGCTTGCTTGAAAGTTAAACAAACTCGATTCTGGCATTTTCTCAGCTTTTTTATTCGAAAAACTGTTCTTGAAGCTCAATAAATTACTTGGTAATTAAAAAAAGTTCTTTTTAATTATATCGTTTTTCAGTGTCGATTTTTTCAATAAGATTGTTGTGAAACCTTCTTGGAATTCATGAATAAGCTGCTGGATACATTTATGGAAATTTTCATTATCAAGCATGAAGAGATATTTGAAAATTATAAGAAAATTTGATTGTAATTGTATGGAACATCAAAAATAAAACCACGGAAGCACTTTTTATGATACAATACTCAACAAACTTTTCAATTATATTTGCTCTTCATCTTCGAAAGAAATTTTATCATCCAATTTTTTCCATTGCACTCGGTAAAATGTGCTTTTTCTTGAATTACAACTTTGATGTCATTTCATTATTTGGATGAAGATGAAGGGCATAATTCCCTTGAGGATGGAATTTATTTTAACAAGTTTCCTTTTATTCTTTTCCCTCCAAACGACAAAGTTTTTGAGTTTAAGCTGGCTATCAGTATCCTGACTTTTCTTTCAGTGTAACCAAGGTTCTCATGATGTTAATACGTTAATTAAAAGAGCTATGAGATGCAATTAAAAGTTGGAGATTGTTCAATATTACTTTTGATAACTTTTCTCAAGCAAAATGATCTTTAGTTGGTTTTGATTCCGAAACTTTGTTTCAATTTAAACAAACTTTGTAAATCGAATGATAAAAATTGTCTAAATTGTTCAATTTTTTCAATTTAACCGAAAATTGGAATTTGAAAGAGGATTTGTACGGCTTTCAACAACGCTCAGCTTCAGAATTAAAAAAAATAATATTTCTTGACTAAATAAATTGAAAATATATTATCTGTAACTAATTACACGGTCGTTTGTTTATAAAAAGGTGTTCCTGTTCCTTTAATTTATACCAGAATGTCACTGGAACCTTCAACTTGCGAAGGTTGGTATTTGTTTGTTATATTAGATTAAATAGAATTTAAAATTTATTTTTTCTTTTCAGATTTGAAAGCGTTTGAAAGAAGACTCACTGAAGTTCTTGCGTGTTTACAGCCTAATTGCTTGAGATGGCGAATAGTTTTATGCATAGTTACTATCATTTCTGGTGTTTCAGCTTTCTTCTGGTTGAGTGACCCACAGACATCAGTTCTTCCATTCTTTGACTCTTTATTAAATCACTACATATTTACAACTTCAGCTCTAACCTTAATAACGTTATTCTGCTATGGAATACATAAACTTGTAATATCACCACAAGTGAGTATTTGGGTAAAATGTTTCTATGAATTAATTTAATAGAGATCTATTAATATTTTTTTAGATTATTATATCACGTACAAGAAATGTTCTTTCGGAATTCAACCTAAGCTGTGACGAAGCAGGCAAAATTATCTTGAGATCAAGACCAAATGCTCCTTAATGATAATAAAATTTAACTGTAAGAATTAACAATCAATTGATCTATTTAATAAACCAAAACATTCAAGATAAAATGTAATTTGTGTTTGTTTAGATGTTTAAATATGATGGATATTTTTGTTCAAGACATCTTTTCTGAAAGTGCTTCCCTAAGGATTTATTAAATAAATAAAATCTTGTCATGTATACCCTTGTGAAATCGGCTGTTTTTAACGGTTTAATCAAATTCAAAACGCTGTATATCAAAGAATACTCAGCGCCTTTGTTTTGAACCTTCTTGTACAACTGAACGCAGTCGCTCAAAAAATTTAAGGCAAAGGGAGAGTGTAAATATTCTCGTGTTTTTACCATTTTATGACTAGATTCTGTTAAGTTATAAGCCTAAAAGCTATGAAGAGTTAAGACTTTATAAATATAGCAAGAAAATTACCACAAAATACCACATATAACATCAATTTTATTGAACTTAATGAATTGTTAAAAGTGAAGGTAATCCAGCTTAAAACTGGACTAAAAATTATCTGAAGTATTTGCATAAGCTTGACTACTCAAATATCTCACAGTATTTTAGTTTTTAAGTAAATAAAATGAAATATCTCTTGAAGTGACAGTGAATTTGTGTGAAAATTTATATTAAATCAAAAGGAAAATTTCGTTTTAAAACAACGGTAAGTTAACATAACACTGTGAATCATAGAAACTCTTTCATTATCTTAAAACGTTCAACATCTGTTTTGTGATTCATAGAAATAAGAAAAGAAAACTCTGAATGACAAATATATCATATTTTAGTTATCGAATTCATCCAAAACCCTCCTGAACCAAAGTTTTTTCTTATCGAATTTCATCCGTAAATAGAAATGGGTGGTAAAGACGTTCAGGGGGAAATTGAGTTTTATCATAAAAAAATCTTATCGACAACTGTCAAGGAAAATAATATCAAACAAAACAAACCTTTCAGTGAACAAATTTTGTGAAAAGATTTCATGTTTAGTGACTTACCATCATCATCATCACATGTAGCGTTTCCTTCTATCAGTTTTTTCATCCAATTGCTGTCAACCTACATTTTCTTCCAATCACTTCCCAATTTTATTTTTATCTTCGTCACTGCACGCAATTGTCAACTTTACGGTTACTCAACATCTTTCTTTGCTAATTTCTCGCATGGATGGAACAATAGACGTGAACTTAACATCAAATAAACTCACAAGTTGAAAAGTACTTCAACCTTTGATCATAATCAAAACGGGACATTAGATGAAGATGAAAAGAAAACTTTATGAGAAAAATGTTTAATGTCAATAAAATGAGGCAAACTGAGCTATGAAATTGTTTAGCAAATAATCACAATACAGAACGTGTTTGACTCTAAATGATGTATTAAAATCGTTAATGGTGACACAAAGGCCGCTCTTTCATTTCTTGTTTCTGAGAGATCCAACCATGTAGAGTTATAAATTACATTTCCTTTGTGCTCCATTATCATCGTCTGTAAAATCTACAAGAGTGCGGAAACTAAACGCAACACAACTTTCCTCTTCCTTTTCAATTTTTCAATGATATTTTCCTCGTGATTGCTTGCAAACTATTGTCAATGTTGTTGATAATTTGATAACTCGTTCAATCTTTTTCCATTAAATTTTATAAGCGACTGTCTAATTATTCAATGAATTCTACAACTCAATAATCTTCTATGAATAAAATTAATCTTTAATGATGTAATGCTCATTGAGTTTAGTTGACTTGTTGCTGTTTATAAAATAAATATCTTTGAATCGGCATTCATACACATTGTTTGTTATGGAAGACCCGCGAGATTTGTGAAAAATGAAACTCATTTCCTAACATAACTCTTACTGTTGAATGTAAACCGATGAGAATTTGAAAATTTAATCGCATGAAAGGATTACATAACATGAAAATCGGCTTATTACACTTTGTAATTGAATAATGCAAGGAAATCTCGATTGATAAAGGTATCCTTGGGTCGTTTATTCAATCAAGGGTGATCTGAAGTGAGCGTAAAAATCTTTCATACTTAAAGTTATTTTTAGACTGAGATGAGAGATCATAACATTCTGTTGCGATTCCTCATGTGATAAAATGTGTTTTATTGTAAAAATTATTTTCATTCATACTTAATACAAAATAAATCGATTTATCCGCCGAATTATCGTAAAACTTTGAAGAGACGATGGAATAGATGAAGAAAAAAAAGTTGCGTTAATGGGACTTTGTGCTGTCGATTGTTGATGATTACGCAAACGATGGTGAATTTTTTTTTTGTTTAATTTTCGGTGCTGGAGAAAGAAAAAAAATCAATGTTTTTAAACGGCGACTTGATGGTTTAGTTCGAGGCCGTTCACTTTTCGAAATGTTTTTCATTCTTCGTAATGACGATGAGTTGGGTGAGGAAAACATAAATTTTCCGACCACATCTTAATTGATTGTTTATTGAGCTAGTAACGAGAAAATTTTCACATTTGGCAGAAGCCCGGATGAGGAAGTTCATTGTTCGATATTTCAGATGTTCGATGAACCACGAAAACCTCGTCATGAGACGAATTGATTAATTTGTGGTTCAAGAACCCAAATAATAAATCAAAACAACAGAATTGAGTATTTTACTCTTCATTTTTTGAAAGATTTTGTTAATCAGGGAATTGTACTCGTCACTCATAACGACATGCGACTTTCTCTTTCAATTTGCAACTGAGGTCGAATTTCATGTACTTTCAACGAATGCTACAGTTGCAGTCTTGACTTTATTTTCTTGTAAATTTTTTATAGCGATTCAAGTCACAGTTTTGAACGTGAAATAGATAAAAATGGAAATTTTTTTGCAAGCGGTTTTTTTTGGCGACAAATCGATCGTACACATGTTGTGATTATGCAAAAAAACCTCTTTCAGACATGACCATCGTATCGTGATTTGCTTAAAGCTTTTGCATGTCGTTGGCAAATTCCCCTTGCGGTTGTTTTCGGCGACGATTTGCGACTCGAATGAATGATGTTCGTAGACGACGTGACAAAGCAATGTAAAAGCAAATTAAAGTAAAATTAATTTCTAGTCGATTAAACTCATGCGATTCGATTGAATGAATGATGAATGAAACAATGGAGATTCTGTTGTTGAATTGTCAAGCAAATTGAACAGTAATTTGAATGATAACCTTCGAGTTAAGATCGAGAATTTCATATAAAACATCTACGCAATACCAATAATGTTCGTCTTAAACGATTCCTTACATATGTACAAAATGTTGTAAACGATTCGCTCTCTTTTTCCTTTTTATTTCTCAAGTCAACGATGGCATTGTGACAGGCACTTAACGTTACCAAAATGCCGAAATATGTGTACGTAACAACGAAAACAAAAATCGTTTCATGGGTGCAGTGCGGTCTTTATTTTCGCCTTCGATTTTCGTTTTGAATATTTTTTTTACTCTTAAACTCAACTTCATTGTATTATTTTTAAAATAATTGCGAAAGTCTGTAATCAATGGCTCATGGTCTGTAAATAAGTTGAACGAATAAAAATTGCTACAGCCGGAAGAAATCCTTCAAAAGCTCAGAGCAGAAAAAATTCTTGGCTCTGACTGCTTTCAGGTTGAAAACAATTTATGGAATGTTGTTTAATGTTTAAATCCATCCATCCATCTATCTCTGTCTCTCTCACTCACTAACATCGATGTTTGACCCATTTTTGCTCGGGATTTTCATTCTCTACAATTTATACTCATAACGTATGAAGCAGCAGCGAAAGAATTCAATAACTAAGCAATAGCAAAAGGCGACTTGAGACCGGAGCAATGTGTTGATGAAAAGTTTTTCTTTTTACAATGTTTACAGTTTTGTTCGAAATCAATTTTAAGATTCTCAACGTAAGCGAATAAAAGTGAATGTTTACAAAAATTCTTCTTCCTTCTTCTGTTGTTTCTTTCCCTGAATCACGACTCGCGATTTCTTATTATTTTATAATCAGTCTCAATTTAATTCCAGACATTTCTTGCTTGTAGGAAAAGTTGTTTCATTCGTCGACTATTCATTCTGACGAAGCAACAAGACATGAAGAAGAATTATTATTATAATAAAAAAAGCAAGTTTTTATTTGTCTGTCTCGTTATCGTAAAATCTTCACCGTCAATCGGTCGTGTGCTCATCGAAATCTCTTAAGGTTACTGGCATCACGAGCTATTCAAATGAGAGCAGTAAAATTCCAGTTGAATATTTCTTTCTTTTGCTTTTTCGTAATTCAAACTTGTTTCATTCTCGCTCCACTAGCACACTCTCATCGTGTATGTGATCATGGCAAGAAATTGTAAATTTATTATTTTATTTTGGCATTTACGAATCGGCGCATGATTATTTCTTCTCATTTTAACTTACGAAAGCTCCAAATTTATTTCTTTTTTCCTTCTTTATTTATTGTTTGAGAGAAGTCTTCTCCCGAAAATATTTTGTTGAGTTAGTTTTGCAATCGAATGAGCGCGCAACATGTTTGTATAGAGAAGTTTTTTTGTTTTTATTTTGATACAGTAAAATTGCTTTAAAATTGTACATTTGAATTGTAAATCCGCGTAAACTTCTTCAATATTTCACTGTGAAATAATCAAGGAAATTCTTTAAACTTACTGCAAGCAAACTGAGAGATTTCACTGTAAATTTGAAACAAAAAAAAGAAAAAATATTCATCGTGCGAGAGCGAGAGACTTGAGAGTTTCACCATCGATTTCAACCTAAAAACTGGGTTTGCTGATATTTCACATGTAAGTAGTTGCACATTGACTTCAGAAGCGAGATCGGCTCGACATTAAACGTGCTTTAAATCATAGCTCAAAGACGATTATTTTTATTTTGTTTCGTTCTTTTTCTTTCGCTTACGCGTTTTGTTTATTAAATATTAAAAGAAGAAAAAAGATTGAAAAGTCAAAAAAATATTTGCTTTGGTTCAGCAAAGAGGGAATAAAAAGTTTTCTTAGTAAACGGCTTAAGGCGAAATGAAAAGAAAATTGAATTTTCGTCGTGTCGTTTGAAGAATCTTCGCTTCGTTAATTTGATGGAATTTCAAGTGCTGAGTCAAGAAAAGTTTTATTTTTCATCGTAATCTCGCGAAACCGATGGACATATTATTTTAAGAAACGACAGTTTCTCGACGAATCAGTCACGACACGAAAAATATTGCGCGTGTTATTGAAAAGAAGAAGAACAAAAAAATATTTTGCAGGAAAATAAAAATCAACAGTTTGAACTCACAAAAATAAAAATTATTTCGGTGTTGAGCTCAGCGAACGAGTCGTGATAAGAAAGTGAAAGAAGAAAACGAATGTACAAGTAAAACAAAATTTTATTCCATCGAAAATTAACTCAGGCCGCTTTGTTTGAGTGCAGTTACAATAAACAACAAATAGAAAAGCCGATTGTAGTGCAAGTGAAAATTTATTAGATTGACCGCAGTCAATTGAAGTTAATTGGAAAAGTCGCGACTTGGAAGGTTGGTTTTTAATCCGTAGAACTATTAATCATGACATGTTTTTCCCATTTTTCGAGCTTCATCTAATTTACTCTCCTTCTAATCATCAATTCAGTGAATTGGAATGAGAAGAATAACAAACAGCTTTTGATGAGATTTTTAATGAAATTCTATTTACTTTTCGCTTGAGCGCCTTCTTTTTTCGTCGAACTACGAATTGAATGAGCTCGAGTCATATTTATGTGACATTTAATGATTTCATTGCAATTCTCTGTTCACTCGATTGAGTGTTTTATATATATTAACTTTGCACAAATTGTGTGGGTGTAAAAATTCCAATTAATTTTCTTAAACGACGAGACGAAGACATAAGACACTAATTTTCCTTTCGTCTTCTCTTCGCATGATTCCACATTTACGATTACATCACAAATGAAAGAAACTTTCTTTTGTGAAACTTAAATTCATTGATTTCTTTCAAGCTTCACAATTCCAATCGTCTCTAACGATAAAGCTACGCATAAGGCAAAAAAAATGAAGAAAAAGAAATTTAGTGTTGAAATTTTTAATCAGCTGTTACTGGCGATCATCGTGCGATTTAATGCGAGAAAATAAAACAAAATAAAAAATTGCTTGAGTAAATAAAACAAGTTAGAGGGAAATAGAAAAAATATTTCCATCCACCTTACCTTTTTTTTCCTATCAATTAAGCTGTTTAAGTGCTCATAAATTTATGATAACAATGCTGTGATTACTAAGAAGAGAAAACCTCTCAGCTCGAGTGCACAACACAATGCAATGAGCTTTCAATTTCAATTTTAAAATAAATATTAACTCCAAATGCATTACATGGTATTAAACTTGAAGGAAAGATTGTTGTTTGAAGAAACTAAATGATTTTCACATCACATGTCCCCAGTCTTTCATTCAACTCGCTCTTGCTGCAATTTGTATTTAGGAATTAATTCAAAGTCACTGCTGTTACTTGGAGATTTAATTTGTTAATTCATAAAAGTTTAAGTAATCAAAGTCAAACATCTAGCATTAAAGTAATGGAGTTTTGCAATATCAGCGTTCTTTTATGAACATGAAATTGTGTTTTGTAAGCATTGCCGGTCGTTGTATTCAGTTTATTGACGTCGACTTGCATTTTATTACATTTCCATGTATGAAAAGTTCCTTTTTTGTTAAAAAGTAAAGTTACAGACAGAAAAATGATTTTTAATTTTCTTTCTCATTTCCCAGCTTGAAAAGATTTGTTTTCTATTTATATGAAAGCAAATTTAATAAACATTCAGAATAAGAGAAAATAAAACGTCAATTCATCGGAAAATGTCATAAAAAATTCGTCAAACGACAAAAAAAACTTTTTTTTGCCCGCCAACAGTTTTTTCAATGATGTTGATCTTGAATTTATTTGCTGGGAGGCCATGCACAGTTTTTAAGTTGTTAGTTTGTTTTGTTCTCGTCATAATTTTCTCTCAACTGTGACATTCAGCGAAGCAACATTAAAATAACTTTGCACGTACAATTTTTTATTATTTCTATATTAATTATCAGTGAGAAGCTTGCAGCATAATTTTCATGTTTACCTTCGACGAACAAGTTATTTACAAATTGATAAATGAAAGTAAATTTAATCTCATTCGAATAATTTTTTATTTTGATTACGATTGTTGTCGTTTCATGACTCATTATTTAATTATCAATCATTTGTTATTGTTGTTTATCTTATCTTTGACGAAAGTGGTTCTTGATACTCTTTTTAATCGCCTAAATAGATTAAATTTCGTAACAATAAATTCACCGGTGATTGAAAATTCTTTGTTTGGTTTATGTTGTGATCATAAAAGAGTTGAAATATGAAAAGTCGGAAATTGGGTTAACAACAAGATACTGATAAGAAATCTAATATGATTAAATTCATTATGTTCTATTCTTGTTTACGAGCTTCACAGATGATCTTTATGACCTTTCTAAGCGATGACACAATTTGAATTGGTAATTGATACACGTTTGTGTTGCTCGTTTTCAGTCTTTCTTTATCATCTCTCGCAACCGCATCGTGTGAGTGAACAGTGTGAACGGGCTTTTGCTACTTGAAACTTGTTATTATATCATTTTCATGTACATTTTTTGAACAAAAAGAGAGAGGGTTGAGTTATTTGTCAAGGTCAATTGCCGATGATGAGAACTTTCCAAATAATCATAATAAATGATGAAATTGAATTATTAAACGTAAACTGGAATTTCTAAAAATTTATTTACGTCTCGTATTTTTGTTTTTATCAATTTGAAAACATCTATGAAGGAGTTTTTGTCAATAAATGACAATGTAAGATAATTCCAGTAATAGTCAAGTTTTGTTTACACAGTTGCGATGCCGTCATAGAGAATAGAATAAATTTAGACAATATCAAAAGTTTCTATTAATATCGATTTGCGAATGCATTGAAAACATTCTTAGTTGAGACATCGCACTCTCAGATTTCATACAAAGAAGTTGTTTACGTCAAAGAATCTTTTTTTTCTGGACAAGAAGTGAAAGAATTTAAAAACAAAACATTGCATTGCGGTCATTTCTATTTTTATTGACTGTGATTTACGACTAATTTATTAAAAAACGTAGAATGTTTCCTATCATTATAATTCAAAGCACAAAGCTTTGTCGATTTTTTAAAAATATTTTTTATTCACTCTTGTTGTTGTTCTTTGTTGTTTTAGTTTGTTTTGCTTTGAAAGCTTAGTCGTTCGTGAAGCTATCAAGGCGACTAATTGACACGATTCATTACTTAATTCTGTTGAATCAAAGTGGTGTGTTTAAATATGTATTCGAGTAAATATACAATGAAGTTCATTTAAATATTAGCAAGTGTTATGATGATTATCGCACTACAGTATTGTACAATAAGAGTGACAAAAAATGTATTCAGAAACAAAATTTTCAATATTTAACCGCCAACGTGGCGTTTGTTGAGCTGTTTTGATAAATTATTAAAGCCAAGAATTAACACTTGTAACTATCTTGAAAGGCGTTTCGCCAGTTAAATTCTCTTCGACATTCTTCCGATGGTGGTCTCAATGATCGAAAATCTTGTTATTATTCAATATTCATTTCAAACGTTAATTCATGTAAAATTATGCAAACCAACATAAACATCACTGAATTATTAAAAAATAATATTAAAGCAGATTCTCTTTCAATCTTCAGGCGGATCTCAAAATTGTGCGCATTGAATTATGGAGCGTGTTTGTTGAGTTATTTATTTAGCTGTTCTAATTCTCCCACCTTCATCTCAATATAATTTCGTGTGATCATCAAAATGAATTCAATTCATTTGTTTGATTGTTGAATTGAAAGTGAATTTACGTTTTTTTCTTCGCTCGCGAAAAAAAGAAAGAAAGAAAGAAAAATTAAAATAATTTTGTTTCTTTTTCGTTTCAAAACCAAGACAGAAATTAAATTTACATAAAACAAATTTTACGTAAATTTGTTCAGCATTTTATTATCACATCGGTAAATGGAACTTCCGGCTTCGTTATTCAATCACCTGAAGCTCAGGAAGAAAAAGTTTTTGAATCTAATTTATGGTTTTGAGTTTTGTTTAAATGGATTTTGCGTCTCTTTGAGACCTAAATCGACATTTAATGCCTTTCAAAGTAGCTCGACATGATAACAAAAAAAAAAGAAAAAATATTTTTCAGAGACGTGATGTAAAAAAAGCTTCAGCAAATACTTTTAAATACTCATTGATTCTTACTATATTGTTCTTCTTTTGTTTTGTTGTGCTCAGCAGGTAACCTCAACCTCATCTACACACAGAGAGCCTTTTGACGACCTTGAGTCATAAAACATCGCAACGCATCAAAGTAACGTGTTAATAAATCGCGAGGAACCACATTAAACATTTGATATTGCGCTAATTCAAAGAATACATGCATAAACATAGGAAATCTTCTTAAAATTAACATATTTAAGCAAGACTAGAACCTGTCAGTTTGTGAATGATTAAAACATATTTATTGCGGAAGTGAATAAATATTTAGAAGACGAAGTATCAAGTTTGATTAAAAGCTTTAGATGGCTTAAGGAGATACACATTGAAACACCAAGAGAGTATTGAATTATTTACAATAGCTTAAAAAAAGACGTCAGTAACCATGACAATTCAAACATAAGAAAGCCGTCATCAACCGATTAAATATTTTCATTTTAAATATATTTCAAAGAAAAACATTATTAGAAAAGTAAAGTGGTGAAGCCAAGAAAAGAATTAGAATAATTACCTAGCAACATGCGCCGTAACCGATCGTCCTTCTCGTTTCCGGACTTCAGCTTACGTCGTCTTCTACTGCATGGAGCTCGTGCAGCTCGTGGAAGTCCAACGTTAGGGAGTCGTTGTGATATTGAAAAAGGCACAGGAAGTTCAAGTAAAGGAGAAAAGTCTTCATCAACCCCGTCAAATAAGGTGAGTTACGTAATCGATTTTTCCTTCTTTTTTCTTTCTTTTCCTTTCTGAACAAATAACCAAAGAAAAGTTTTTCTTTTCAAACAAACAAACAAATAAAGAAAAAAGAATTCAAAACTTTTCATATTAAATCATCTGATAGAGACTTTGATAAACAACACAAAGTTACATGTTTTATTTGTTATTTTCTTGTTTTTAATAAAAGAAATTATAAAAGCTTCATTAAAGCTTTTGCGAAAAGAAATTGAAATATTTTTCTATAAAATAAAAGCAATGAAAATAAAGCGAAATATTATTCAAATGTTGCATCGGTAATGAAAAGTTTTGATTGAAGTTTAATAAACTTTCACCTTGTTTAAGAAATAATCGATAACAATTTTTACTTTTTAACTTGTCATTGAAGTTTTGTTTATAACTGAATTATCCTTTTCATCACAACATCGTCAAATGTTACATGAAACAGTAAAAGTGATTACAAAACTCGTGCAAAATTGCGTGACAAATTCCTCATCTTATGTCTGCACACGTTGTTCAAGGATCATGTTACAATGTTAAGAATCTTTCTTCACGTGGTTGAAATGAAGAGAGCTGGAAAAGTGTCCCGTAACAATGATTACTCGTGTTGCTCGTAAATCGCTAGCAGTTCTTATTATTATTTACTAGAGTCATGAACCAACCAGTTGAAATGTTTCTTTATTGAGCATTTCACAATTATAGTGATTAACAATAATTTTTATAAGTCAATCACACAAATATTTCAAAACTTGAAGTCTCACGAACATAACTTAAATTTTTCAAGCTTTATTTTCTCTTTCTTTTTAATAAATTTCATAGTTGCTGTTTAAACTACAAAATTCATTTTTGTTTATATAATTACATCACCTTGCTGTTAATCATAAACTGATGTGAAAAATGCTCGACTTGCTGTTTGCAATGAGATAAAATAAATTAAATAAAAAAGGAAAAACATTTAAGAATTCAGAGGTCAAGCTGAACGTGTAAACATAACAATTGTTGTTGACTTAATATCCGCATAGTGTAAATGTTTTCATGTTTTCCATTTCTTCATTTTGATATTATTCGAAGCGAATAAAAAGTTGCCCATTTGACGTCAAAAGTTCTGAATTTTCCGCAACATTTTGTGATCTGCTGTTGCTTATCGTTCAAAGATGAAACTCGATTTACAAAATTTCGCGAGAATGACGATAATGACACAACTTCTAGATGACTTTATAATATTAACAAACACAACGTGTTTCAATTTAATATAGTAGAATGAACCCAAAACTGTAACCTTGAAAGATGCTTACACAAGTGATGATATCGTCGATAAGGAAACTCGTGTATGTGCCATCTTGCTCATCATATCATTAGACAGCGAAACAAGTTGAACAAGAATTTTTAATGAATTCCCAATTTTTAGTAAATTGTGTCAATAGATGTCGAACATTTATCTTTGACAAGTACAATCGAATTAATACAGAATTAAGAGCAATTAATCAAACATCATTTTTATTTATCTTATTACGTTGTTTTTCCAGTACAATAATAATGACACCACGTCTCAGTGTTCTGGCACAACATCAAGTCATGTTGATCGCATTTCTTTCGTATTTATGGAGAAAGCTTCATCACCAAAGTGTCGCAATAAAACGCCACCAGTGTCAAGTCAAAAATCAATGGAGAATTCACAAGAATGTCAATTATGTTACATGAAATACGATCAATCTGATGACATGTACACGATGTTAAATTGCAAGCACACTGCTTGTCGCATCTGTCTCGAAAGTTATTTAACAATCGAGATCACAGAATCAAGAACTGACATTGCATGTCCACAATGTGCTGAATCAATGCATCCGTCGGACATTCAAATACTGCTCAAGACACATCCTAATGTGATATCGAAATATGAAGACTTTATGGTGCGCCGTGTGCTTCTTGCCGATCCCGATTCAAGATGGTGTCCAGCACCAGATTGCAGTTATGCTGTTATTGCAACAGGATGTGCTTCGTGTCCAAGACTACGTTGTGAACGACCAGGCTGTGATTTGCAATTCTGTTATCATTGTAAGGCTGAATGGCATCCAGACCAGACTTGTGATGCAGCAAGAGCTGCACGACACAGTCCCACAAGACAAACGTCGGGTGGCAGTAATCAAGATCCACAAAATCGTAAGTTATCAAGCTTTTAACAAATTAAAATCGTAATTAATTATTGTTGATAAATTTTTATCAGGTGATGACATTAAACCATGTCCACGATGTCAAGTATTAATAGTCAAAATCGATGATGGCTCGTGTAATCACATGGTGTGTGCAGTATGTGGTTCAGAATTTTGTTGGCTGTGTAAGAAGGAGATAACGGATTTACATTATTTAAGTCCGTCTGGATGTACATTTTGGGGTACAAAGCCATGGTCGAGAAAGAAGAAGCTTCTGTGGCAATTGGGAACACTTGTTGGTGCTCCTGTCATGATTGCACTAGTCGCAGGAATTGCCGTTCCTGCAATGATAATTGGTAGATAATTTACAGACAAAAAATCTCTGTTTTCGTTTTGCTTAATTGATTTCTTTTAAGGAATTCCCGTTTGGGTTGGTCGTAAACTTCACACTCGTTACAAGGGTGCAAGTAAACACAAACGAAATTGTGCTGTGATGGGCGGCGTTGCTGCTTCGGTGAGTTATTTATTATCCCTCATTCAGTTTCATTGAACTCGGAAGAAAAGTTGCCAACGATTTTGTTCTTGAGCTTAAGGTCATTGAACTTTTGATTTTAGCATAAAATCTTCTCATGATTTTGTGTCTGCTGAAATGTCAACTAAGTGATTGTGTGTAAGAAAGTTTGAAAGTCGACAAATTTTTCCTTCCTTTTTATACTTTCTGTAAGTTGTTGTACAAAATGTTTTGAATTTTTCATTTGATTTCAAAGGATTCCCCAAAGAACATTTCTCAATGACGATTAATGATTGGAGGAAGGGGCTTGTCACCCACTCTTGTTTTGGTCCATGCGCATTCGTTTGCCTTCTCTCAACTTCCTGAAAATTCTCTTTCATGAAATATTAGTATCGTCATCAAAAAGCTTTCGGCTATAGATGATTTCTTTCATCTTCAAAGGATTTTTCCTTTTATTTCTTTAATAATAAACATTTTGCAAGTAAGGATTTTAATATTATTGCTTACACATTATGCGCATACATGTCAATTTCCTTCATTACCTTTATAATCTAGTACTTCATATCTTTATTTATTTCTAATTTATATCCTTCCGCTGGAAGTTAACTCAAATAAACGCATTAATATCCTTCATTAATAAAAGTTATGAGAAAAATAATATCATGGTTTACTCACTAAAGACTGATAGAAAGGAAATTCAAATATTTTCATATCATTTCCATTTATGTTTCATGAATGAATTTATTTCCCTTCGACGACGACGACGACGTCAAGTAGACCAATAGAAGAACAATAAAAACAAGTAATAATGGCGACAATGGACACATTGTGATGATCATAAACTCCAACTCATTTTATGAACATTTCTCATTTTGTTATCCGTTTAATGGTGCTTAGAATTTCTCCGTAAGAGAATTACGATGTTTAATTTGTAGCTTTTCGTGATAATCGTTCTCATGACAGCACATTAAGAAATGATTTAATTCACTTTATTTAAATTAAATATAATTAAGTGAAATGTAAAAAGCAATTGTGAAACCGGTCTTGACACCCGTCAACTTGATTAAATTAATCTAAAGTAAGAATCGATTCATTTGTCAATTTCCTTCCACCTTACTAAATAATTTATTATCAAAAGCTTCCAAAAAAGGATTCATTTCTACCTTTTATTCATCCATTCGTGCAACAATCTTTTAAAGATAAAGTTTAGTCAAATAAATCTGCATCATCAAATGAGAAAATTCTGTCCTCGTAATAATCTTGAAGAACATCGAGAAGTCGTTGTTCAGTTTCTGGATGACCAAGTGCTACATCAATTGATCCAATGCAAAGAAGAAATGAAAGAAGTTGAGATTTTCTAGAACAAAAGAACAAGAAAGCAGTTAAGTCTTCCTTTCAATCTGATAAATCCCTTTTCAATCTCACCTAAAGTCACATTCTAATTTGTTACGGCTGTAGAGTAAATCAACTTCGATATCTAACGATAACTTGTGACAATTTGTCTTGAGTAAATTGTAATAAAAGTCAAGTAACTTTGTCGTATGTTGACGTCTGATGTGAGACGGTAATGATGAAGTGATAAGAAGTGCAATGTCATTAGTTGGACTGCTGTATGTGATCATTTGCCAATCAAGAATTGAACAATTGTCGTTGTAACTGTCATCAAGTTCAGTTTTAAACAGCAAATTATTGCACCAGAAGTCAGTGTGGGTGATCAAACCCATCGGCTCCGTTGGATGTAAAAGTCTCTCGATAAGATTTCTTGTCTTTGGTTGAAGTTGTTCAAGAACTTGCAATTCACGTTCATAACATCCTTTCATGACAAGAAATTTTGCAAGTTGTGGCAAGCCTTGTTCAAGCAATTGTTGATAACTTTCTGTTGCTTTATTGATTTGAAATAAAAACTAAAAATCATGAATTAAAATATTTCATTTAAATCGTCATTTAACTTTATCGACAACTCACGGGATATTTTTCATTTAAATCAATCTTTTCCTTGAACTTCATGCCTAACGATAGCGCATGAACCGAAGCAATGGCCTTGATAGCGTATTCAGCTTGCTCCAAATTCAAACCATTTATGAAATTCACGCCCTAAAAGTTGAAGAAATCAAAATTAATCTACACTTTACAGTCAAGCTTTAATTTCTTAATGTAATAATTTGTCTCACCTTGTAGCCTGACGATCTCATATCTTCAAGAACGAGAATTGATTCAGGTGGTTCGGGGCTTCCATTTGGTGGCAATTTTCCGGGCGAATAATGAGTGTAAAAACATTTTGGTACACAAATTGACAATTTCTCGCAGCCTGCTTGAATGTGTTTACTTTGAAATTCCAATAAATCTGGCAAAACTCGAGTGTAAAATTTGATTTCGCGCAAATCAAATTTGCCTTCGGTTACAAAGTAACGACTGAATGGGTCATGTGGAAGGAGTTTGATAATGAATTCTAGTTTTTCACTGTTGCTAGCAGTTTCCAATGAGGCTGGTTCAATTGACGAATTGCTGATGTTGTAAGTGACCGACACGGCGAGAATGTCACTTAAGTTACTCACGCCATCGTTACAACCTTGCTTCGCAGAGAAATCAGCAATTTTTATATCATTTTTCGTATCGTGATGTTGCTTCAGCATCTCAATCAGCCAATCTTCGTTCACTGGCCAACTGTCAGAACTCGCTGATTCTTCTTCTGTATCAGTCATTGTTGTTTGCTAATAAAACATCAAAAAATCAATTGGCATTCAACAAACATTTTATCTAAATTGACTCAATTGTTCTGAATTCAAAAGCTACCTCAGCGTAGCATGGAAAGAATTTTTTTCTTTTTGATTTTTTCATGTAGAAGAGTTTTAATGTAACTCATGAACATGAGTGTAGGCTGTTGTAATGTTAACAAAAAAGTTCAATTCCATTGGCAAAAGTCTCAAAGTAAAATCTTCTTGTTACTTATATTTATATCTTTGAACTTTATTATGAATTTCTCAAGTCACGAACATTCTCATGAAGCGAGTTATCGTTTATGTTTTGAAATTCCCCCGATTCATATTTAAAACGCCGGTAATGACATTTTTATTTGCATATGTCTCAATCGCATTCATATCAGCGACCTTTATATTCTCATTCCACATGGGATAGAAATCTATGTAAATTGATGAGGCATTGAAACTCTAGACGAGCCTTTTTTGTTGCAGATAATTCGTTTTATGTTATCGATGAGGAAAACTCAATTTTCGTCGTCGTTGCTTCTTCATTAACTCGCAAGCTTTGCCTAATTACTTTCCTTTGCTGTTCGTAACGAACGTTTAATTTGAGATGCTTCGAAAGATTGAATGACATGGGTTGTGACATTTCGAGAGGTTTACGTAAACGTCCCATGATAGATTCACTAATTAAATATCCTTAAAACTTCCGATTAAATTTTTGTTTGCATGAAAAAGTTTCCATCAAATTTTTTTTCTTCTTCCCTGATTTTTTTGCCTCACGTCACATGCAAATCCAATTAATTGTTTATTCACAAACGAGACATGAACAGATAAATTTTGAGTCTCAATTTTCATCCCCCTAAGATTAACCTTAAGGGAAATTTTAGCAGTGAAAAATCAGAATTTAAGCTTCTGGGGTGAAGGAAACTTTTTTATCTTCGGATGATTTGTGGCAAGAAGGAAACTTGGAAAGCTGATATCTTTTTTCAGATTTCTGTCCTCTCAATCACTGTGCATACATCAATAACTGCTTGCTCACTCATTGCCCATCCCAAAAAAAAAATAATGAAAGAAAAATCCCCAGACAATGTAATGTAAAGTCACATGAAAGATTCATAACAATTTTACTTCTATTGTTGTTTCCTTTTTTCCTTTTTTTCTTTTTTTTGGAAAATCAATAAAAATTTCTTCATCCATTGTGGCTCATTTTTCAAAAGTTATCGAATCCTTCAACTTAACAATCACTTCCTTTGATAAACAAGTTTAAAGAATTCATCACGAAAAGCAATTGAAATGAAACGTGATGTGCTTTCTTTTATTCATTCATTTTTTTCTTGCCGAATATTCCACCACGTGTAAAGGAGAAGAAGAAAAAATCTTTTCCAATCAATCATTCTTCAAATTGAAGTGAAAGAAAAAGAAAAAAAAAGAAGCTGTAAAGCTTTTAACTTACGAGAACGTTTATTTGCTCAATATTTGTCTGCTGTTGTTTCTCCCCTTAAAGTTTTGTTTGTTTTCAATTTGCGATCAGAATGCCATAAAGCGCATTAAGTTCCAACTTTAATGGAGTTAAATTGAAATTATTTCCTTTATTTCTGTGAAAGCGATTAAAGCCAACAAGCAAGCACGCAACAAAAACAACACAAAATTGAAATCAGCTTAAAAAATGTAATTTTCCTCTCTTTTTCTCGACTTGATTCTGTAAGAACGTCCGTCGATTTCGAGGATTGTCGTGAGACTGAATAGAAACTTTTTTATGCTTTTTTATATTTTCCACTCAGAGTTCCGCTCACATGATGATGGAAGTATTCACGTTGAGATTTTTAACTGTGTGTGAGTGAAGAATTTTCATGTTGGGGATGCTTTTAACCCGAAGATTAGGAGATGGATGGATGTCTCTTTTAGTCGAGTGATTTATTAACGTCTTCAATGATTACATGAGATTTGACTGTTCACATTTCACACCTGACGAACATTGTCAGAATAGGAATTTTAGTGAATTTCCTTATCTTATGAAGGCTTCATTGTGATTCATTTGTATTCACAGTTACACTAACTTTTTTTGACTCTTTTTCTCTGCATGTACACAACATTTCTCTTTCTCCTTGTTTTCCGCTATCGACTCTCAGTCATTTCTCATTGTGCATTGTGCTTTTGGATAAATAAATATTTTCTTCTTCTCTTCGAGATTAAAACGATGAAGATTTTCGCTATGTTGCCTTCCAATGAACCGTTGAACTGAGAAAAAAGAAATTGAGAAATAAAAATATTTACGAGATGTTGATTTATTAGAATCTGATTGTTTCCGCAAGATTACCAAGAATGCTGTCATTCAATGAATGAATATTTTTTCATCTTAAAGGGAAAAGTCATGACAATGGTGAATGGGAAGAAATTATTTATTTTTCATTCTTTTAAATTCTTGGTAGATGAAGCGAGAAAGGATTGTAAACACAAATATGTTTGTATGATGTGATGTCGTCGTCTTGCCCCACCCAATTTATGTTTTAAATACCATTTAACTCTTCATTACGCAATTTTTTCAATTTAAATTTCTTTTTCCCTTCAGATGCTCGTATCGCCTGTGTTGGCGGGACTTGCTGTAGCCATTGGCGTTCCAATTCTTCTTTTTTATGTTTATGGTGTTGTTCCAGGTAAGTTTTACTTTTATTTCGAATCAATAATATTTAATTGAAATTTACTAACGACTGTTCAGTTTCATTATGTCGCGCCGGATGTGGTGTGTCAACATCACGCGATGGCGTGAAATTTGAATTCGATGAAGACGAAGAAACAGTAAGAAATCACGACACACAGAGCGTTGATGCCGTTTCAAGGATTGGCGCAACAAGCATTGGTGAAGTTAGTTTGAGTGTTGCAAGTGCAAGTCAGTTTGGGGGTGCCACTAATTCAATAGCACGTGAGTCGACGACAGCATTGGCTGGTAGTATTAATGGTTCAACAGCAGGACATAAATTAGAAGTTCAAGCCGATATCAGCGAGACCGCGTCTGCAATAACTTGTGTGAGTGAGAAGTCAGCAAATAACGGACATGACACAGCATCAACGAAAGCTTTAGCCGGTTCCATCTTGAACTACCGACATGTCAATGCTTACGACCAGTCATTAATCTTAAGTGAAGACACGACATCTGAACGTGTACGTTTCGACAATATGATTTATGTATTAGATGGTCAAAAGGAAGGAGATTGTTGGTATACAGCGCCTTTAGATCAGGTGAGTTAACATCATGAATAACAATTGACAAGAAAAGGAATTTTAAATGTTTTGCTTAGGAAATGGCAGCTGATAAAGCAAGTCTTAGTAGTGCAAGATCATTTAGAAGTTCTGATCTTGATTCAACGAGCATCACATCAATGCACAAACGAATGGCGCAACGAACGAAACTTCAACATCGTGCAATGTCGATTGACAGTAATAGTGGATCCAATAATATCCCCGAAAGTCCTGAAGACGCTCCAACTGTAACTTTTTCTACTCAGGAATGTAAACAACCATCATCCGGTCGATTAACACCCGCATCATCAATGGGAAGTATCAAGTCAAATAGTAAAAGCCCTCAGCCGGCTAAAAAAGGCCTCAGCAAGTCCAACATTTTGCGGAATATTTTCTTCTCCGGATCATCAAATTCATCTAAGTCATAACTTTCATAAATCTGATAAAAGAAATCACGTCATGAAGCGTCCATGTTAAGAACTTAAAATAGTATTCATTTTAAAAACATGAAATTTATGCAACGACTCAAACAAACAAGGAAAATTTTTCGATGAAAATCTTTTTTCTTTTTGTTTTTTCAACTCTTTACAATTTATAAGAATTGACAGAAAATGTTCTTTTAAAATATTGAGAATTTGTGTGGAGATTCAAAATTTTCTAGCTCATTTCGAGTGTTAGAATTTATCCATGTGAATAAAGCAAATTTACAAATATTTCATGGTTGATTCTTTAATGAAACTTACGACAAGAAATGATAATAGTCCGTGCTATGTTATTGATGGATGATTTCCAAAATATAATCTTTTCATTTTTTGAAAGTAATACTGAATTTGTATAACATTTGTTTAATTAGTTATATTTGAGTCGTTCATTAATATATTTACATTTTTGATAATTTGGTAGAATCTCTACCTTAAACAATATAAAAAGAAATAATCAACAATTTTTATTCATACAAAACTGAACTGATAAAAAGTTTACATTATGCTGCTTAAGATTTAGTCGCTTATTCATTGTAATGTAATGGAGTAGATAATGAAATATTTTAGACATTTAAATATTGTCTCATCAATTAAGGAAACATGTTTTATTAAGAAGCAGAAACAGCATTTCTAAGCAGACGGAGGAAAATAAATTAAAATTCATTATCTAAAGGAAAAAAATTATAATTTAAACTTTAAAGCCAAAAACAAGGAAACCAATTATTATGAAATCAATTACAAAAGTTGTTCAATGCATTATTGCTGCTTGAAGGTTACTTAACTGCTTAAAAGTGCAAAAAGAAATTTTTGCTGTCGATGCCATAAATATGAAGATTAAAATCTAGAGAATTCGGAAAAACTTCTTATGAGAAAAGCTTTCAAAGAATAAATATTTTTAAGTATTTGCATTGTCGTCGTTCATCAGTTTTTTATATTTTATGATGACGGAAAGATAAATTGCATTCAATTATTTTGCCAATTTAATTCTTATTTTATTATAGAAAGAAGTTTCTAAATCATGTTTACGACTAAGTTTTTTTTGTAAGAAAAATAAACGTTCATTGAAATTATCTATAAAACTTTTAATGTTTTTTTTTATTGAGATATTTAATTACAGGAATATTTTAAAGAAGATATTTTAGATATTCTGGATTAAAATAAATGTTGCAAAAAAAGTTAACGTACAAAGTGGATTTGAATAACTGTTGTAAGGTTTCAAAAAAGACGAATCAAAGGTTTTGCTGAATAACTTTATTCAACTTGACAAAAAAAATTTAGTTTTCTTTGCATAAAAATAACAAAATGTACTGTTGGGTAATTCTTCAAGTACTTTTCCTAATTTCTAGTGTTATATCAGCTCCAGTTGAAGAGAATTCATTAATTAACATCATACAAAGTGATAATCGTACCGTACAGTTACGCGAACATAAATTTATAGCCGAATGTCAAAAGAAAAATGAATTCTCGAATTCTCTTTGCTTTGCTATGTATGAATTAGCTTTATCATTTGATTCTGAAAAATTGGAGTTTATTAGAGGAAAAAATGCTACTTACGTAGATGGAAAATTCTGTGAAGCATTGTCAAATGTCCTTCCCGATACACCTCGAACTGATGCTGCAAAAGCTATTAAAGACCAAGCAATTTGGTTCAAGGACATATTGAAGAAAGACAATGGTGAAGCAACTTGTAATGATCGATGCTTCTACAATGATCCAGAGTCATATGAAACAAAATTACTTCCTGTATGTCGTTTCCTTTTTAATCAGTACACGTATTTAGATGGGTTAAGTAATGACAAAGCCCAACAAGTTATCAACATTAAACGTGAGTATTAATCACGAAGTTTATGAAAAAACTTACATAAAATTAATTTGAAAATTTCTATACTATTTCCAGCTGACGTTATTGGTGAAGTAATCACTACCAAAGTTGACAAATTAGCTGGCAGGGCTAATGTGCCATCATTTGTTAAAATCAGCACTTCAAGAAATGTTGGAGCTCTAAGAAAAGAAGATACGTCATCAAATTTGAGTGCTAATCAAGATGCTGCTGATCAACCAATACCAACTTCAAACCCTACAACACCATCAACAACAGTTCCAATTGTACCTGCTGCTGATATCGCGAAAAATCTTTCAAAAGTTTCCGAAGAAAAATCTGAAATGAAAAATATTGATAAAGTGATAAAATCAGGTAATGATAGTAATAGTGATGAAATTGGAGGTGTCAATGACAGTAAGAAGTCTAATGAAGCTACAAACATCAATAATGAAGGTCAAGGAGAAGTAAACGAAGCAAAGAAAGCTGTTGAAGAAGTGAACATCAATGATGGTGAGAATCTTGAAGATGGAGAAATTAAGCAAACCTTTGAAGTCGCTTCTGATAATCCAATGGAGAAAGATCAAGATCCTTTTATGCAAAACGAAATTGATCCTGATGAAGAGTACGAAGATGATTCGATGGCAAGAAACAATAATAAACTTACTGCTGATAAAATGCCCCAGGAGGAATTAAATGAGATAGTGGAAGATGAAGTTCCTCATAAAAATTACGAAACTGTCGAGTTTAAAGAAGATCCAGACTCAAACTTCTTCACGTATCTTTGCGGTCTCATGTTCCTTTGCGTACTTCTTTACATTCTTCATCAAAATCGACATAAACTGATGGCTTTATGTCTCGAAGGACGACGTGGTCGTCGAAGTCGTGACAGATCTAGAAGTGGATCAAAGGCTGCTTATAGCAAATTAGACTGTAACTTAGAAGAAGCCATCACAAGTAAGAAAAGTCTGAGTGGAAAGTCAATGGACATTATTTATTAGAACTTAAATGTTAAATATCCGCTTAGCTTCAAAAATGATTCATTGATTGAAACTTTATTTTATACTTAGTTGATGATCTGGCCAGTGTTTGTGACAACAGATTTGATTGAAAATATATTCACGTGATAATAATTTTCTTGTTTTTATTTTTCAAACGAAAAATTCTTCGATAAAGCAATGCAACTTGACATTGAATAGAAATTGATTAAATTTAAGAGAGTTGAACATGCACAAAAGTTCATTTTCGTAAGCATTTAGTATGAGTCATGAAAACATTGTTTTTATCAATTCATTACTTAATTAACATTCATTGACATGAATTCATAAAAGTATTTCAATGAGAGCTTAAAGCTGAATAAATATTAAGAAATAAATTCAATTTAAAGCATCGAAGTTTGTCACTGTTGGCATCGAAGAATGAAAGCAATTGACCGATCTCATTTAACTAATAAATCAGTTTTGAAGTGGCCAATTGCCCTGCTTCATGAAAATGCCACAAAAGAATCTTTGGAAAGGAAACAATTCTTGCCAACAGCTAACAAAATCGATGTTTGTTCACTTTCCTTCACGTAACTTTTCACACATTCGAGTTTTCCATTGGAGATATTTTTGAAATGAAACGACACAATTAAGTCAAATCGTACTTTTTACATGGTTTTATCACGTAAAATGCCTTTAAGCTTCACATCCGTCTCATGAATTGTGCTGAATTTTCCGAGTGTAAATTCTTTCGAGCAATAATTTATGTAATAAAAATGTTGGAAATAAAAGAAAAAAAATTGTGTAGCAATTGAAAAGAATCGATTTTTATCAATCAACTCTTTTTTATAATATCTTTACAGACTTTCCCTTTAGATTTTCCAATTGTATCATAAATCCAATCAATGGTTAATTTAGTAGTGAGTCTTGAATAAACTCCTGGAAAAGGTCTGGCACAACCTTCCCCAAAGGAAACAACGCCAAATACTTCATAACGATTTGGATGAGTTTCAATGAAAAGTGGCCCTCCACTGTCGCCCTGCAATTAAACAAATTCTTTGAAAGCTCAAAAAATTGATTTCGAATTAATCTTACTTGACATGCATCCGTTTTATGTGAATGTGCACAAATCATCGAATCTTTGTTGAATTTAACCATCGATTTAGTGAGTTCTTTGCACTTCTCGTAACTTTTCACTTCAACTCTTGTTTCCATGAGAGCATTAGCAATCTCTGAAGATCTTCCTTCATTAAGTCTTCCCCTGCAGGGAAATTACAAATTGAATTTACAAAGTTTTTCTTTAAATATTTTTAACAACTCACCATCCAGCGACAATCGCCATTTGCCATGTGAATTCATGTGATGCTAATGTAATACAAATAGGCTTAATATGATCACTAAATAGGATTAGTTTATCAACTGTGGCAATTGCAATATCGTAATCATCACCAAAGCTTGAATTTTTGAATTTTGGATGATATTCGTATGAAATTGTTTCATATCTGACGCCTTCTCTTCTTTTTACTTTATGCATTCCCAGAAGCCAGTAAGTTTCCAATGGACGCTTAATGCTTTCATTTAATTAATTATTTATAAATAAAAACATTTTTTACATTAATTAACTTACTAGAAAAGACAATGAGCAGCTGTTAAAATGTTTCTTGTGGAAATTAAACTTCCACCACATGTAAATTCATCGTTGTCTCTAAACATTGCAGCCATCCACGGATATTTATGTGCGTATGTACCAAATCCATTAACGATTCGTCCAGCCTGGTCAACATTCATTTCTCCACAAACTGAACAAAGGAATAATCTTGAATGATTATTTTTAGTAAAGATTTTAATGATCTGTTGACCGAAACTCACTGCATGTTTTATCTGTAATTGATTTAGAAATTACGTGATGAATTGATGAGATAAATACGAAAACAATAATTAAGTAACATGCGCAGTTCATGATCTCAAAGTAATTTTGATAATAATCAATCATCACGAGTCAAAGTTTGAATTAAAAATTATTTGAATCGCATGAATGTAAGTTTTAAAGTGTTGAGCTTATGGTTTAATCGAGTTAAATTTTTAATGGTCAAAGCTTTTCCTTAGAAATAGTCAACAAATGTTTTTTCATTTGAGTTTTGATTTTGATGTCGAAACTATTCTGATTTTCAAATATTCATTTACAGTAATGAAGGATTGATCAAAGATCTTCTCCATCGTTGTCTGTCAAGTTTAATAATTCGATCAAAAACTATTTCATTTTCTTTCAGTTCGTTGGCATTTCTGTTCGAAACAAAGGAAACAAAGTCAGGAAATAAACACCAAGGCTGTGAACTTTAAAACACAAAAGATTTTTACATTCAGTCAGTTATGCATGCCGTTATAGAATAACGAAAATTTGATAAAGATTTTGAAATAACATTTTTTATTGAAATATTCAAAATTCAGGTTTTGATGACATCATCGCCGACATATGCGTCATAAGCTTTTGTTTCGTTTTGTTACTTTTACACGTGACGTTCGTTTCAACTCTTTCTGTCGTCTGTTTGCTGTTGCGGTTTATGGAAATGTTATTATTTCTTATTAATAAATGTCGAATCATTGTTTGCTTTTTAAATTAGTGACGACAATGAAGAGAAGTTTATCAATGAAATTAAATTTATTAATTCAGTTTGAAGAATTTAAAAAATTGAATATTAATAAATTGAATCCGAACATGTGTCACTTTGTGATGTAGCGATGTATCGTCCTATCCAGTTTAAAGTTTCACGATTTGATACCTTGCCATAAATTCCTGGGAATTCTCTGGCACAACCATCCCCAAAGGAAACAACACCAAACACTTCGTAACGATTGGGATGAGTTTCAATGAAAAATGGTCCACCAGAATCACCCTGAAAATTTATCATCTAAAGTTATTCAACTTTAAATATTTATCAATTTAAATCAATTAACCTGACAAGCATCTTTTTTATTTTCATAGCCACAAATCATCGATTTGGGATTAAACTCGACAAGCCTCTTAACTTTATGTTTACATTCATCATTTCGGTAAACTTTGATTTTTGTTTCCAACAAAACTGATGCCAATTTTGCACCAGCTCCCTCAGCAATTCTCCCCCTTAATTGATAATAACAATTCATCAATAATAATAAACAATTTAGGAAAGAAAATCTCACCATCCAGCAACAACTGCCCATAAACCTGTGAAGGCATCGTCGGGTTGCGGTAAACAAATCGGCCTCATTGTAAAATCAAAAATAATTCTCTCTCCGAGTCGCACAATCGACATATCGTAGTCATCGTAAACAGTATAATTAATAAACTTTGGATGAAATTGATAATGTGCGACATGATATTTCCTTCCATCTTGACGACTTCTGTCGTACATTCCAAGCATCCAATAAGTTTTGTAAGGATCTGGAATACTATTCGAAAGTTTCTCAAACAAAATTTTAATCATTTCTTTGAGATTTCTTACTAGAATAGACAATGACCAGCAGTTAAAATGTTCTTATCTGAGATGATTGCTCCCCCACACATAAATGAACTTGACGTTGCCAGAAACATTGCAGCCATCCAAGGATACTTATGGGGTGTGGTGATCTTTCCATTGACGATTCTCCCTGATGTCTTTGTGTTTGACTCACCACAAACTTTCGTTTAGATTGAAACATCAGTCCAACTGTTGCAAATTTCTGTTAAATTACTTACCACAGTCTGATCGAACTTCTCCCAAACTCAATCCGAAATCTTGGACAAAAATAAGAACTAAGAAGTTAAAAGCTTTCATTTCAACTGCAACACAAATTCAAATAACGAGAATAATTGTCGCGGCACAAATAAATTCGCTTTAGACTTTATGGATTGTCAAACGATTGGAAATGCATGGTCAGGTGAATTACATTAATAGAATGATAAGCTATTAATTCAATAAATTTTATACACAGGGCTTCAAGTAATTAATAAAAAGAAAAGTTTAAAATTTAGTGAAAAAAAAAACTTTTGACAAAGAAATAAAATTAAAAATCAAACATCTGCAATAATAAACAATTTCAGATTAAAACTTATTCGTAACAAGGCCACATGTCTTATTAAAAGCTTTAAATTAAAACATAACAAATGAAATTAATAATAAGCGTAGTTGATAATTTAAGCACTTTTCATTATTAAATATTTATCACTTTTATATAAAAATATTTCATCAATTTCCTGTGGTTTCTTTTATTGAAACAAATTATTTTATTCGTGGACAAACTCCAGTCGAGTTAATAACTTTTCATGCCCAAGGCAATGAATTCGTAATATCAGCATAAACGCCAGCATGATTTTCACCACATTTCTTCCCAAAACAAACTCATGCCGATAACATCAAAAGATGTGAAGTGCTGATGATCAAAGGCTGAAAAGTAGAATGATTTATGGAGATCCACGAATTAATTAGATACTCCGCTTTGATCACCTTAACTGATATGAATTAAAGCCACAGATCATCGAATCGAAATTACAAAAATTATAAAGTGAAGTTGCTTTATGTCGGTAAAGAATTTTTAATTTTCCTTCTCTTAACACTGACGAAATTTTCATTACATTCGGATGCTGTTCCCCATCCAGTGATTGTTGCTATTTTCCCCAGTGAATAACTTTTTAAAAATATTTTGAAATATCACAAAAAGTATGAAAATGATTTGCTTCTAGCTAAAATTCTGTTGGAACATCAATCGGACGAATTTTATCAGAGGAAACTTTTAATGTTTTTTTTTGAGAAGTTGTGAAGTTAGAAGTTCTAAATCATAATCGTCATAACTTCCAAGGGATTTAAAGTTTGGATGGACGTGAATCTTATGAAAGTTCATTCGTTGACCTTCTTCCAAACTACGAAGATTAATTTTTAAATAAATCTTTGCTCAGACATTCTGTGAAAAATTGAGAATTTTTCTTTTGAAAATGAGAAGGAAATCAGAGAAGCGTTCAGGTTTGCTACTTAAAGGGAACACAATGTAAGGAAAATGTCTGCATGAATACTTTCACTTAATCTTATTATCAATTTGAAGGTTCTTATGCTTACATGTGTATCAGATATTAATGCTCCGCCACAACAAGGTTTATGATGTGCTTAATAAAACGCCACCATGCAAGAAAGCTTTTGCCATTGTCCCATTTATAATTCGACGACCTTCATCAATTGCGATTCCACAGCAATCATTTCAAGTGTAACCAACAACATATTACAATAAACATTAAAGATAACGCAATTAAATATATTGGCATTATTCAAGAGATCGTCGTAAGATGAAAGAAAATTGCGTGTTGAAGTGTTTGCTTCAAAATTTGATATGAAATTTCGAGAGCTTTTGAGCTAGTCTTGAGTATGAAAAATTCATTAGAATTAATTAAACAACACGGTGGAAGCTCACGAAAGAAAATAAAAAAAATTAATTAAAAATCACTCTTCAAAGTTCACGGAAAAATTTAATGAAAAACAATTTTTTAGGTTTGTCAAAATAAGTATAAATAGCAAAGCTTTTTTTATTCTCAGGTAATTCATATTTTTTGTTACAATAAAAATGTATAGAACATCTAAAATTATCAGTGAAATAAACTACATTAAGCATAACTAACATTATATGAAATATTTTCAAATAATTTACTTGTGACCACAAAAACATGAAAAATGAATTAAATTATCTACAGAAATGTTTACGTATTTAATTTTTAATCTAATTTATATGTTATTGCAGTTGTAGCAAGACCTGGACATAGACTTGTAACGTCAACTGAATCTGCAATAAGATTATCTAAGCTTTTCTTCTCAAAATGTTGTTTAATTTCTGATGATAATTTTAATGATGATGATTTGTTGTTATTGTTTAAATCCATGTAATTAGCATTCAAATCAATTTCATTTTTATTGCCTGCATTTCCTGTTGTTCTCTTCTTTAATGCTGTTGAATTAGAATTGACATTGAGATCTTTCTCTTCTGCCATCAGTCGTTGTTGTAAGATTTCATTTTGTTTCGCCAAAATTTCATCATCAAGTTCACGCTTTGGTAATTCTTCTTCAACTAATGCGTAGCCATATTTTGGTAGCATCTTTATTTTTGGTTTCTGAACACTCGTATACGTTGGATTTGATGGATGTCGCCAAATGTTTAGGAAAGTTTTGGTTTTTGGTGCTGCTTCTGGAACTCCATACTGTTGATGTGACCGGTCGCCAGTTCTTAAGCATCGATTTTTCACCTGTTAATGATTTCTTATCATAATTTCATTTATAACTTATCATTCTCATTAATTACCATCGTTGCAGTTGCTTCACGCAAATCATAAATCACGCCATATTTTGCAAAGAAATCGATGAACTTGCAAGTTAAATTGAACGGTGTTCCGAGTTCAGCAGCTCGATAATCCCAAGGAAATGCGTGCTGCAATAAAAAGAAGAAACACAAACAAATATTATGAATTGATCTCGTCACTCATGAAGACACAAAAACAATGTGTAGTTAACTTAATTATAGTTAAAATAATTACATGATAATTATGCCAGCCTTCACCAGTTGCAAGGGCTGCAACGAACATTGATTCAACTGGAAAAATTGTCCTGAAACATAGAATTTAAATAAACGGCCACTTTAACTTTAATCATTGATTAACTCACTCATCATAAGGCCTCGTTCCAAAAAGATGTGCGACACTGTTGACCATCCACGTGACATTCAAATTTATGATTGTTCTTGCAAAGTAGGCGACCCACAACGCCATCCACGGATTCTCATTCCAAGCGAAAATCGGCACAATTGTTGGCAAGCCAAGTGCGAAAATCGTGTAAAGGACTTTATAATGTCTGAAAATTAAAAACATGGTCAAAGTCAATTAACGCTTTCTCGTTGAATTGGAATTAAAATTTCCCCGACGCAACGAAAGTCATTTACAAAATCACGTTAAAAAATTCACAACATGACTCAGTAATTTTGTGGTCAATCATTAACTGACCAAACCACTGATGCATCGAAGTGTTATGCAATTATTTTGCAAGGTCAGGATCAGTGAGTTACTTGCACTAACTTTGACTTTATTGACGGTTAATGAATCTGAAATTATGACAATATTTTGTAGGCATATAAATAAGGAAGGAAGAAGCTTTAATTTAATATTTTGTTATGTATTTTTATGGAAAATATTTAAATGTGCACACATTCATATCCATGGGTAATCAATTAATAAACAATAATGTCAAACAGGTTTCGTTTTATGAATAGAATTTCGCACGTGTGATGACAGAAAAAGCTTAACACAAAGCGATTTTAAATGGAAAAACATATGATTAAGATATATTATAAAAAGATTTGCCTTCGTATAGCAAATTCAAAACGTCAAGAATTTTAATTCTTTACATTTCTTACATCAAACTCGTTTTTCCTTCTTTTTTTGGTAAATTCGGCAAAGAACGTTCCTGAATATTTTTTGGACTTTTTGCGAGAAACCTGATTGAAAGTTGCTTCGTAAATTGAAGTAAAAGCATTTAAAATATGTCAAAAATGAGTTTTCAATATCATTTTGTTGTGAAACGTTTAAAAGTAAGCAAAAAAATGTATGAAACGTGATTCTGATAATGAAGTGTTTGTTGGACTTGGTAAATAGTTCATCGTGACATGATTGAGTAATTGCAATTTGCAAAAGGAAAATTTACATTGTAAAGACTAAAAAAGTTATAAAACAGAAGCTTTAAATGTTCAATGACACATCAAGATTTGTCGTTGAATGATGATCATTGTTACAAGAAAGCTACTTGTGACATTGACTGGAAAATAAAGAAAAGAAAACTGTCTGCAAATTGACTTAATATTTTACCCAAGAGACATGACGTAATAAATTTTAATCATGAGACAAAAGCAGAAAACAACAAAATGTGACGAAAAAGTAAAGAAATTCAGTTGATGACAAAGAATAAAATAAAATATCGACATTGGACAATTCACATCATCGAAGTCTTTTAAAAATCGATTCGATACGAGAAAATATGATAAAAATCGATGCGTTTTAAAGATTATTTATTTTCAACGAGACAAGAATTGGTTAAATGATGCGAGTACGTGCAATTATGATGAATATCGTGAGCATCAGGGAAAATGCCTTAAAGGCAAAGTTGTCGCATGTTTGCTTACCTCTTCTGAAACATGATGTAGGGATCAGCATCGAGATCGGACATATCAATCTTCTTTCCATATTCGATAACTTTCGGGTGTTTTCTTACGCATAACCATCCAACATGCGAAAACCAGAAACCTCTGTTAGCATTGTGTGGATCTGCGTCAGTATCAGAATATTTGTGATGTTGACGATGGTCACGCACCCACACCCATAAACAATTTTGTCCTGCCATTGTGTGAAGGTAGAGAAGAATGATTTTCAGCCAACGTTTGGCTTTGAATGCTCTATGACTCCAATGTCTATGAGCGCCCATTGTCACGCCTTGACCAGCCGCATAAATCAGCCACAGAGCTGTGAATTATGAATTGTTGTGTTAAAATAACATTTTATTTCATTGATAACAACATGAACTCACAATAAAATGTTGTGTATATGCTACAATATCCGAAAAGTGCTGCAAAACCGCCACTCATACCAATCAAATGTAAAATGATGAATCCTATGAAATTATACCAAACAATTGTGAATTTGTAGTTTGGATCTGTTCCAATTTCTGATGGAAGAATCGGCGTCTTTGATCCAACTTCTTTGAAAGTTTCTATCTCTTCATGATGTGATTTTGCGTTGTTACATCGGTTGATTAGTTCAACAGCTTTTTCTATTGGTAAAGTCGAGTCTTCAGTTTTCAGTAAATCTGTGTCAACTGTCGGTGATTTTTCTACTGTTTTGGAAAGCATTTCCGAGCAGAAAATCGATTTCGTATTCGCATCAGCGCCCATTATTAAATGTTCAAATGTTTTTTACTGAAAGTTAAAGATTAAAGAAATGTAATCAAAATGAAAGCTTGACTGATTTCTTAAATATTCCAAAATGTGTAAGAAAAATGTTCCATGTTCAAATTGTGCAAAAGATTTAAAATGAGACATTACGTGTTAGATTATGTTCAAATATAAATCCTAAATATTTTATGAGTCATAATCAAAAAGAAAAATTGAATCTAAACTCGTTTTCGAATTGAATCATTATCAGCAAAAGATTTCAATTCCAAGGTAATCAAACTTTTGCCATAACAATAAATCTTAAATGTTTTAACTCGTGAATCGATCCATAAAAGAATTTTATGTTCAATCGATAGGTGATAATGTCAACTAATTAAAAAGTCTTTCATGCATCTTATGATTAGACTCAACTCCATAATTTTAATTCTGTCGAATTTGATTGAAGATCATAAAAAAGCAAAAACAGTTCAAACGCCAACTTCGTGAGATTTTAGTTTTCAAAAGATGTTTTAATTATCTAAAAGGTTTTATGATAAACAAACAGTGGTAACAATGGAAGCGTTTACCAGGTAATTGTGATGCAATTGAATTATGTTAAATACGATTGTTGATGTGGTCTTGACGTTTTCCACTTTCAACGCATCTAACTCAAAAAATGATAATAAAATTATTTATTCTTTACACAATTCGAATTGTAATCCGTTTTTATTAAATAAAATTTATTTGGAGGCAAAAAATGGCTTTACGAGATGAATGCTACGATTGATTTAATTTTTGATTAGGAAATTCAGTGTACTTATGCTTGTTAGATAAACATTCATTCATTTCATAAAGAGAAAACTTTACACAAGCTAGATGGATGTATGAAGTTTATTATCTTTTTATTTCTCCATTAAACTTGAACCTGAGACAAAGTTTCAGGCTAGCACAAGTCTAGCTGACGATGGCTTTGACGCAGCCATGAAGCGTGATGTATTTTTAATAAATAATGTAATACTAGGCAATTGAAACGACTTAATTAGTTTTCTAAAAAAATCTTACACAAAGTGAACGACAATTTTTTTCAAACAAGCAACAAAGATAAAAATATGATTTGCTTATTGAATAATGACAGTCGGAAAAGCATTGATGCAGCTTCTTGCCTTTTTCAAAGACTTTAATCAATCATTGAATCTAGAATTAACGTCAAGTGCAAGTTTATCGCTTTATAAGCAGTTTTGAATATTTTCTCAATCTCATTTTTTAATATTTACGTTTCAGTGATTCGTGGAAGCGTTTCACTGTGTAGATTTTTCAGCTTATTTAGCATAATCTATTTGTGAAGTGTTACACATCTTTTAACAAGTCGCTTAAAATGTTAAATATTTGATGAGATAAGACAGAGAAGGTCTTAAATTATTGATTCAAAATGTAAATTCTAAAGACGATAATAAAATTATTCTGCTTGTCATTCTGACCTAGTCCCATATTATCTCAATCAATTAATAGTTCAGCTCATTAATATATTTGCTTTTTCATATTTCATTCATCAATGCATTTGCAGTATGCATTTTTGACCTTCTAAAGGTGAGAACTTTTAAAGAGCCTCGTGAAATTTTTATCTTTGCATTGAACTCACTGATGCATCATTTGAATTTCGTTTTAATTGCAATTTAAATCACTTGTTGAAAATAACTTAAGTAAATTTGTGACAATTACAAAAATGTTAAGTCATCAATTAATTTGGAATGAAGGTAACTAATCGATGATACGTAAATTCATGAAATTATCAGAATCGCTTTTGATAGAACATAAATGAAAATTCTCAGTGCGTGAAACAAGAGCCATTGATGAATATTTAAGTGGTTTCAGTTGCTTCTTCAACAAATGCTTATTATGTTCTTTAACATGTCTATTGAGTTGAACATGAATGTTTTGAATATTTTTATGATTGAGATCACGTAAAAAGAAAACAGAAAATATTTTGTTAATTAATGTTTTGGTTCACCTTGAAGTTAATGTGACTAATGCGATTTTTGCTGTTGTTAATCTTATCAATTAATATTAAAATGCGTTTACGTAACACATCTCCATATTTTTGTAATAATCTTCTTGATTATCATGTATTAATTTGCTTAATGAGATATAAAATGAAACCGGAAAATGTATCGAAAGAACTATTTGGCGAATTCAAATTTCTTTTTCATTGATGATCACAGAAAATTTGACATTGTTCAAGGTATCGAAGTGAATTTATTTAATGAGGAGGGAAAATTGTTTGGGCTTAAAATTCATTGATAGTTAATGCACTTTTTTCCACTTGTTTTTTGCTTAGTCATGTTTTTATTTTGCACCCAGTTACTAATGGGAAATCCACTTTTAACTTACTTTCCAAGTAAAGGTTTATAAAATATCCTTGATGATTGTTCCAAGAACCTTGAAGATTTATCTTAATTATATTACGTAAATTTTTCCACACAAGTCACTTTTTTCGACGTTGCAATGCCACTTTGATAACTTTAAGCCAAATGAATAAAACTTTCTCACCAAAAGTCATTTAAATTCTTGCAATTTTGTTTCTACCCAATTTTTTTCATTTATTTATTTTTAATGTTTTTAAACTTTTCACGTTTTTCTTTTTATTATTTTTATCAAACATGTAATAAGTTGATTTACAACAATTAAATTCACAGTAAGAAGTCCAATGACCGACGATGTTCTGACTACACGCTTCTAACACCGGCGAAATTTTTCAGTAAAATGATCTGAACCTTTGATGAGGAAAATGCTTTTATACTTAGCATGATCAACACAGTGTGTGCTTGTATTGTTTCGAGAGATAATCTCACTGTTGCGAGCGTAAGAGCCGAAGACGACTTGCGATTTCTCCGAAAAACTGTTTTCCAAGTTGTTTTGTTTGAGCATTTCAACACTAACACAAAGCTTGTCGAATTTTTGATTTTGGGAGAAGATCGAAGAAGAAACGAAAATAATTTTCGCAATTTTTCATTCGTACTTTTTCGGTTGATAACGTGTTTAAGAGATTTGACTTTTGAACGTTTTTTAACATGCGACATCGCAGTGACTCTTAACTTTTTTGAATATTCCGGTCACATTTAGGCATCTCGTAATGAAGACTCGTTTTTCACTATTTTTTAAGAAATTCAAGAATACATTTTCAAAATTCTTTCATAAATTTAAATATTTGCAAAGTCTATTGTGAACCTTGAACTTATTTCAAATGTTTTATTTTGTGTAAATCTTTGTTAAATTTTCATTAGAACGGAATTACCTGCAGGCCATTTAAATGTTCTTGCTTTCTTTTCATTATGTTATCGTCACACTAACATATCGAAACATGTTTAATATAACAGAAGAGAATGAACAAAAGTGGATTCAACTTTATAAATAAACATACGTGACTTCTTCCGCGTATTTCTCGACATCCTCTGACTGTTTAAATATTCCGAAAACAGAACCAATAATAAAAATTTTTCAAACTAATCGTCTTTTGGTTGAATTTAAAATTTTCAAATTAAGTTATCTGCTGGTTTCAAAAGAGATAAATTGTGGAGAGAAAATCAACATTGAAATTGCATAAATTTGCTCTTCCGACATGTCACTGAATGTTTTTTTCTTTTTTCGAGTAAAAAGTTTATCGAGGTCCTTTAATAGAAAAAGGTGAAATCGGTTGCAACTGAAGTTTCAATATAAGGAAGTGACTTAAATTAGTCACATAAGAACTTTTTAAGTTAAAACTATTGTCGCACCTACAAGAACAGAAATTAACATGTGAAACCTTGCGCAATATTCACCATGAAATGTTAATTACATATTAAACAATTTCTTATCATTCACAAATTTGTTCTTTGTTTACTTTTGGATCAATTGCTTATTTATCTTGAGTGCCTAATGTCGGTCAAAATGGTGCAATATTCGTTTGTTTATGGCTCATTACAACTATTGAAAATATCGCACGGAAATTTTCAAGGATTTCTCTTAAAAGAAAATGACATTGGAGACGAATTATGTTTGTTTTTGGCATAACAAAGTATATGTATACATACATTTAGTTTATATTTACTAGATAAACAGGAGAGACGTTCCACTTACATTTCAAGATGATGAATTATTTACATTTTTCACTTTCATTTACACTTTAAGTTTAAATATTAACTACCGTATGAAGATTTANTTCTTATCATTCACAAATTTGTTCTTTGTTTACTTTTGGATCAATTGCTTATTTATCTTGAGTGCCTAATGTCGGTCAAAATGGTGCAATATTAGCTTGTTTATTGGCATAACAAAGTATACATTTAGTTTATATTTACTAGATAAACAGGAGAAGGTGTTCCACTTACATTTCAAGATTATGAATTATTTACATTTTTCACTTTCATTTACACTTTAAGTTTAAATATTAACTAGCGTATGAAGATTTAAACACAAAACACTTACAAGCGTTATGTCAAATGTAGATATCAGAGAGATATTTACATATTATTAAAAGCAATTTGTTATTATTTCGAAAGATTCTTTAATCGATGATTATAATAAAGATTTGATAAAACAGAAGATTTATTGAATTTACCCTTTTTCTGTCCAAGCAGTTCAAATAGTCGCAGGCTGAAAATGTAGAACTTTGTAAATCAAAAGGGCCAAAGAACTTTGGTGTAAAAAGGATGAAATTTATAATTTTATTTGAAATTTAATATCCAACTAAGTTAAAAACCATCTTATTAATCAAGTAAAAAGAAAGTTAAAGAAGCAAAATAAAAGAATTGTAGAAGGCTTGTAATTTTATTCATGATGTAAGTACATACTTTCATGCAATGATAGAATGTTTGATTAGACCAAAATGTACTTAAGATTTAAGCATTTGGATTATAAAGTGCTCTTGGTTGTTACAAAGAATTTAAGTGTGCCCTTATGGAAGATTTAAATGAAGTAACTGTGCCTTTCACATTTACATTCGATCTTTATTATTTTTCAAAGTTCATTAACTTTTTCTTGCCTCTTCAGCTTGTTAAGTTTAACAGTTTGTAAAATTTTGAATTTGAGCTTTTAAAGAAGAGCTTTTGATCGTTTCTTGCGCTTTGATATTTCTGCTCACCTTTGCTGTGCATGAAAAGCTTAAAATGTAGATAATTGAAAAAAAAACTACAAAGTTGAGATTAAATCTTTTGATTAAAAATTTAAATCGAAATATTTCTTCCAATGCATGTTACAATTCTTGATGTTTAGTGTGTAACTTTTTTATCGTACTTCTGTCATTACTCATAAAAACAACAAATTACAATGACAATCAAATTTGTGGAAGATCTTTTGACAATATTACAACGCTCTTTATTTAGTTTTTGTTGAAACAGCTTTCGTGCTACTGTTGAACATGTTTTGTTTATTTTCACCTCTGCACCTTCTTCCTTCGGTGAGTGTTCAATGATTCATTCAACTTTTCAATTGAAAATATTCTCATTTAAAAGCAAGCTCACTGAAAAAGATTGATCTTAAGATATGAGTAAACGAAATACAGTTTTCGCTCGTATCGCAATTTAATTCGTATTCATCTCATTTAAACATAAATTACTCTAAAATTAAATCATTCGCTTTTTATTTAGTCTAACATTTCATTTCCATCATCTCATGTGTTGCATTATAAATAAGAGTTTTTATGTAAAATACAAATTTTTGTGTTCTCCTTCTCCTTTCCCTTGTTCTTTCTTTGAATACTTATTTATCTTTCTCGTTAAAAGTAGCTCAAGCTCGTGTTCCCTACTCACTGACTGCAAAAGCAACCGTCTTTAGAATTCTCGTGAATCCAGTCTTTAAGAAAAGAAAGAAAAATGATATATGATTAGTTATTATATTGTTTCATAATGATGTTTAGCGAACTCAAAATTATGTACCTAAATATCTTGTAACTCTCGTATAAACTCCTGAAAGAAAATAATCATTAAAAATAAATATTTTCCTATCAATTTACTTCATCTGACTCACCTGGATAAGCAGGTCGGGCGCAACTGCACATGAAATGAGAGAAACATTGTAATAAAATTTAAAAACAGAAACAGCAAAATCTCACTCACCCATTTCCCCATGAAACAATCCCAACAAGTTCATATCTCTTATCATCTCTTTCCACTTGCAATGGACCACCTTAAAGTGAAAAGTTTTAATGACTTTCAATCAATAAATATTTAAAATTCAATTATCTACCAGAATCACCCTGACAACTGTCACGTTGTCCAACTCCTGGATAACCAGCACACATCATGTTGTTTGTTATCATCTTTGCAGTATAATTTGTCTTTCCAATACATTCTTCATTAGAGAGAATTGGAACTTCAACTTCTTGGAGTGTGCAAGATGGCTTACCATCTTCTTTTAATGTTCCCCAACCAGTAACGAGACCAGTTTTGCCCACATATGCCTCACCTTTAATTTAAAATAATTCATTATCATTTGAAATATTTTTCAAGCATTTTTTCCATCACTTCTGACATTGAAAAGTAGGGAAAGTGATCTTCACACATTGACATTGCTTGCAATTACATGTGAATCACTTGTAAACGAATATTAATGAGAAGGGAAAAACAAAAGATTTGTTGAATTTATGCGAAGTGATTCTCGTTTGTTTAGCTAGATAAACAATGCACAACATTGATTCGAAATGAAAATAATAAAAAGTAAGAGAAATGATGCAATTACCTTTGTTAGTTGGTAAACAAATTGGGCGTATAAAATCAGTTATCGGCACGCGATCATTAAGTCTCAATAGCGCCATATCGTTATCGAAATTACTGTAACTGAATTTCTGCGATATTGCTCTTAACACGAACCTCGTCTCCGCTCTCATGCTATCATCACAACGATCATGTTCACCAAATGTCACTTTAATCATGAACCACATGAAGCCTTTAACGCAATGTGCGGCTAAAAATGATTGATTGTAGCTTTCTTTCCACCTGACATAATTGAAAAGTCAATCTTACCAGTGAGAACATAACGATCGTTAATTAGCATTCCACCTGTGGAAGAATGAAGAGAATGAAAGAATGAAATACCAAACTAGCAGAATATCAATGAGATGTGTGGCATAGTTAAATCTTGAAAGCTTTTAAGACTTTCACAGTTTCCCTTATTCAACTTTTAAGATTTTTTAACACGATCTTCTCATTAATTTGGATGTAAATGTTTTTAAAATGATCCCCCGCAATGATTTTAATCTTATTTGAAATGATTATATAAATTAGAAGTAAACATAAAGAATTGTCGATTATTTTCGCAGTTGAAGCGAGTCAGTTTAACAACCAATTATTTGCATATATTAAGTGAAAGATCAATGAACTCACCGCAATAGAATCTGTTGAAGTAGCTGAGACGAGCCATCCAAGGAAACTCATTTACGCCTGTTGTACTTCCACCAACAATTCTCGACTCATCATTGCGCTCTCCACATCCTTGCATGAATCAAACAATAAGAACAATGGCAAAAGAAAACAGAAATGAAATATTTTACGACTCAATGATGATGATTTCATTGCTTGGTAAGTATTTAAATCTCTTAGAACGGTAATAAATTGATGAGATTTTGGGATGAATTTGACAATGAATGTCATTCAAACATCTTTAGAGGGAAAAAGTTAATCGCGATGCTTTTATTTTCGGAAGAAACAGGTTCAATCTCTTTGAGGGTATTGACGCGAGATTTTTCTGTTTTGCGAGATCTTTTTTTGTGTCTCATTTGAATTAACAGAGTCGCAGTTTAAATTTAAAATAAAATTCCAAACGAAAGAAAAGACAGAAGAAGTAACAATATTGACGGAAAGATGAGATAAATATTAAATTAGTAAAGAAAAACTTTCGCGATCAAGGCCACGATAATATTAATTCGTGGAAGAAAGAGTTAAGTTGATTTGCATAAACAATAATCCGATCGATGTCTGTCCCTTTGTTTTTTTATTGCATTTGCGTGGCTATTTTTGGAAGGCTTTGAACTGGACTTACTGCAACTGCAAGGTGAAGCAGGTGTATCGTGTGCTGGTGGTCGATTGCGATTTAAACCGAAAATTGTCTTCGTTCCATTATCTTTTAAGCTTTTGGCTTCTGTGTAGCGATTTCCATTGTAGATTTGGATTTTTCCCTTTCCAACTTTTCCTTGGTAACTCCAACAACTTGTTATTAACAAGCTAACTGTTATTAACGATATACACACACTAAGTTGCACATTTAAATGCATTTTAACTGCTTAATATTTCACTTTATTTATTATTATTTTTGGACAAAGAAGTTTATTCTTTCAATCAACTCGATAAGCTTCTTCAAAGTGTCTTCACGAAAATATTTAAAAGTTTTTCGTTTATTTCTCTTCAACTCTCGCTAAGACTTCATTCGCAAAACATTTCCGACTTTCTTTATGAATAATCGGCGAAAATAAAAGAAATGAAAACAAAAAAAAAGTTAAAGTCAAACACACGGTAAGTACACTTTATTTGGTTTTTCAATTAAGCCATTAAATATCGCAGACACGTTCACACTCGTAACTAAATTTCTACGCTATTTTTTTCTGAACTTAATGCAACGACGAGTGAACAGCAACTGATCGCTCAAATATTTTCGTCTTCTCTGCTGTTGTTTCAATGCAAGAATCTTCTCAACATTTCTCCTATTCCACTCATTCGCGGTGCCGCGGTTTACCAACAATCATTTATTTATTTATAATGTCGTGGTGAAAACAAAATATTGCGGAGAGACTGGAAAAGAACGTTGAGCAATCGGCTGATGAACCACAAAAACAATTTTCTCTCTCTTTGACATCGCTTGATGTTGACATTAAACAGATTACAATAAACGAACCTTAATTTATGGCGATTTGAGGTTTTGAGAACAATATTTTAATCGTTTTAGAATGTAATCAGAATTGTGTTAAATTATCGTAATGAACTTTGACTCAGTGAAATTAAAATCTTAATTAAAATCTCTAACCATTGGATAACGAAACTTGTTTCCTTTAACTCAAGCGCTGTCATGAGTCTGTGAGAATTAAAGTTGAAGTAACTGCAATCCAGTTCTAGAGGTTTTATTACGTTTTAAGAATCCAATAAAGAAGGAAGAAATTTACTTGACGTAACAAAACAACCGCTACATGCATATATCGATAGAACTTGTTTGTGGATATGAGACTTGTTGTGACACAGAACTTTTTATATTTTTCTTTTTTTTCCGAAAGAAAAAGTAGAACAAACGACAACGAGATGAAATAATTTAATAACTTGACCTAACAAGTGAGACATTAAAATATTTGTAAAAGTTCTAATGTTGGATGCTTCTTAATTTAAATTTAAGTGGTTGGCGGCTTTGTGGTCGAAATCATAATGAAGTTGTCATTTATAATTTGCAAATTACGCTCATCATCATAAAATATCATTAATGGCAACGGCTTTTAAAACATTTTTTATAGATACATGACAAAAAATTAAACTTAATTCTGTTCACATTTTTAGGAAGTAGAAATTCAGTTCAATGATTGAACATATTAAAAATTTACTCAAGAAGAAACAAAAAAGAAAGAAAATAGAAAGTAAAGTTATCAGACATCTTTAAATTAAAAATTAAAATGATGCGCATTACAGTTAAGAATTAATCCGCTAACATTCTTCTAAGTGCATCATTATAAAAAGCTTTAAAGATTTAGCCAAGTCATTCATTATTCCATCATAAGCATAACGTCAAACAACAGATTCTTCTTTACCCAAGAAGAATCTGATGAAACTTGAAGAGTGAAAAATGTGCCACTGAAGATTCTAATCGTAATTATTTTTTGCACTTTTATTAAAAATATTTCCTCATGCATACAAAGCGAATAAGAATTATGGGCATGAATCATTCAATCCATGAAGTGACAAAAGTGATGAATCTAATTGTATATCATTGTCTTGTAACTTCAGTAAGTTCTTAACGATCCATGGCAATTCCATTCTGATGGTTGTTGTTCTATATTCGTGAGATCGTCACTGATGTTCAACATCAAACCAAAACATTATTATGAATGTAGCGAGAAGCTACGTAGGAAATTTTCAATTTCAAATAAAGAAAAAGAAGGCACGATTAGAAAATGAAATTAATTTGCATTGTTACAGTTGCACTCGTGACTACTTTTCATTGCGCTTTAATCTTTGAAATTAGGTAAATTGAATGAGAAAACTTACGATTGTCTATGCATAGCGTCACAAAATCATTCTCATGCCAATAAAATTATTACAATTTTCACCTTCTCTTCAACAAAATACTTTCTTAATTCGATCGTGAACTTGATATTTGAAACGGGAAGGGAAATAGTTTCATTGTTTTGCGATAACTTCTAAGACATTTGTAGGTTTATGATGAATTTTGTTCAACTTACATGTAGAGTTTTGCTTCTCCATTGTTCATCATTTTACGTGATCTGAAATGGAAATTTTTCACTGAACCAGATACAAAACATTGATGGAATGTGGTAAACATGGAAGATTTTTTTAGGGAATCGTGACGTTAATCTTTATTAAAAATTTCTTTTTCTCTTGTTTTACTTTGGAGTGAAATTAAGGAATTCCTTGACTATTACAACAGCAAACATCGGCTTCTTGAGTGTCATCAAATTTCGTTTGAATTTTGACTTCCGCTCCTGGACATGGTAAATTGCAGTCACCTTCAGTGTTCATTACAATTCCGAAAGGTCCAAATTCACATTCAGGTGCGTAAACACCTTCAAATTCACTGCCACATTCTACATTGCTGATGAAGACTAATTGACGAATGTTTCATTAAATTTACTTCTTTGTTGCTAATTTTTCTCACCTGCACAAATCATTGAAACAAAAATCCCAAGAAATTTCATTTTTAATAGTTTTAAATGCAATTTTAATGTCAATTTAAACTTATTTATAATAAATAATCGAAATATAAATTTTACATCGCCTTTTAAAGAATTTCCCTATGAAGTTCTTTTCCGATAACTTTTGCTGAAAAGTCGTGAATAAAATTATACTTCATGATCACGGTTGAATATTTTATTAGATATCACTAAAAACGTCATAAATTTTACGAAACAAAAAAAAGGTTCAACAATTAACTTATATTAGTTTTAAATAGAAATAATTAAAAATTTTATTTGCTTTCATTTTTGAAAGTTTCTTATCGGATTATGTTAATTTGTGGATATTTCAATGTGTCAGAAATTAACTTCAACATCATCATCGTCATTATGACACAACACAACAAAAAATATGCAAAACTTCTTCATTTCTCTTTAATTTATGAGTGACTCATGATTTTTCTTCTTGGTTTTTGTAACAAAAAATGAAGATTGATCGTCTTGATGTTAATATAGAGAAAGAAAGAGGTTAGTTGGTGACTGTGATGTGTTACTTGTCCAACATAGTGACTTCTGGCCTAAAGAAGAGTGTCTCGAATCACCGTGTAAAGCTTGAATTAATCGTGGCAAATTTATAAAATCAAGCTCATAAATTAAAGGCACAAAATTGTGGAAAAGAAAAATTGAAGAGTCATTTGATCAGGAGTTCTGAATCAAGCTTGTAATCACGATATTTGAAGATACAATCAGAGTTGCTTTCATTCATTCACATGCCATAAAATTATGTCTTGATTATCTCTCACATTTTTTTTTCGAATCGTGTTAAAACCATGCTTGAAGCAAATGCTTGAGAAGTATCACTCATTCTAATATTTTTACAGCACATGAAGAAACTTGCTTTTGTGCAATACTTTGTTGTTTTATTATTTACAAAAATCTTGAACATAATTTGACACAATCAGAAGCATCATTCAATTTTCTCTTATCACTTGGTACACAGACACGTCTCATCAAGATTTGCATGTATCCATGGACTGGAATTAAAAGAAATTATGTTAAAAACTTGAACAATTTACATGTGACTGAACTTACAGATATCTGCAGGAAGAGAGAAAGAAAATATTAATTAATTTAACGACAGATAATAAATTATGGTTGTGATTAATTACTGACCTTTGCACTCGAGTGTACACTCCGGGATAACCTTGACGACCACATCTGTGGGAAAAGAAATTGCAGTGAAAATTTTATTGCTGATAAATTACAAAAATTTTCTCTTTTCATTTCTTACCCAACACCCCACGATACAATGCCAACAATCTCATACTTTTCACCATTATTTACAAGCAAAGGACCACCTGAAAGCGACACTATTATTTATACGACAGTTTTATTGTCGCAAAACTTACCTGAATCACCCTAATTGGGAGAAGCAGACACGAGATGATAAATTAAGAAAGAATTTTCAAGAAATTTTCGACATTGAACTTACCTGACATGAGTCGGTTTTTTGCTTGATTCCACCTGCACAAAGCTTTGAAGAATGAATAAAAATACATTTTTCATAGCAGAAGAATACAAAGAAGATTATTAATTGAAATTTACCATGTTCGGTGTGATTCTTGATGCTCGATATTTCATCCCACGACACTGTTCTAAAGTTAAAACAGGAACGTTGACATGTTGAAGAATTCCTGGAAGAGATCCACCTTCAGCTGTTCTTCCCCATCCAACAACTGTTCCAAGCTTTCCAGAAGGATCTATACCTTCACGTGGCAAACAAATTGGTTGAATCCCTTTGCTAAACGAAACAGGTTTTCGTAGCCGTAATAACGCAATATCGTGATTATAAGTATTTTGATCAAAATTTCTATGACGAATAACAGCGCTTACTGCTCGTTGAATTGCTTCTGTCTCTGATGTCACGAATTGATCATGGTCACCTAATATCACTCGAATTTTACTTCGTTTTAGTCTTCTTACACAATGTGCAGCCTACGGTTGGAAATTAAAATGATTACAATCTCGAAGAGTTCTTTCCAATCTAAAAAATTATTTTAATATTTATTACAGTGAGAACATAATCTGCTGTCAGTAATGATCCACCACAATGAAATTGACCATCATAAACGAGTCTGAAAAGAAAGATAAATGAGGAAATAGAAAATTGATTTTTATTAAAATCATCTCAATAAAAGATTTCAGATACGATACCTCGCAACCCATGGAAATTGATTGATTCCTGTAGGTCTTCCGCCTTTTTAAAGAAATATTATAATGACTATCGTAAAGATTATCTTATGATTATATTTTCCATACCAACTATTCTTATCTCCTGCTTTGATTGTCCACACTCTTGAAAGGAAAGAAAAATAATTTTGAGATATAAAAATTAATTAAAAAACTTCGCCTTTGGGTTATGCAATGTGACGCCTAAAAGTTATGCAATTTGAAAAACTTTTTGAGATCACATTGAACTTCATCGATTTTGAAAACGAAAGTTTTGTTTTGAAAAATTTATTACATGTTTATCACTAAGTATTCTAATCAACCTCTTCGTGTTCACGAATAATTAAGTTGCAACATTAAAGTCAAGATTAGTTATTTCATGCAATTGCATTGATCGACTTTTAACTTGAAAGCAAGTCATTTATGACCGAAAATAAATTTGCAACGTATTCGATTACGATTTTTAAATGATTCAGGTCAATGAAATTTTTCAATTGTTTATTAAATATTAATTAAGTTGTAAAAGTTTTTATTCGAATGTTTTCAGCTATCACAAGCTGGCCAAGCCAACCAAAACAAAGTTCGAAAGAAATCATCAAACTTCCGAAGAAATTTGCCATGACGTCAGACTTGTTGAAATACTTTGGAATTAATTTAAATTTTTCAAAGTTAAACATGTAAAAGTATCAAAATGTGACGCAAATATCTTAGATAATAATCATTCAAATATAATAAAAGTTTCAAGCACTGAACAGCTGATTGTCTTTGATTTCAAATAACTTTTCATTCACTTACCGCATTCACATGACTTGAGTGTATTTGTTGCATCATTCGATATCAATTCCTCTTCCAATTCTAATCCAAATAGTGAATCGAAAAGGAATTTACCGTCTCGAAAGTTGTCATCTGTGTAATTGAATCCACTAACTAATTTGACTAAAATTGTCACAATAAAAATTAAGTTTTTGGTCATTTTCTTTAATTGTAAGAAGTTCGAAACTTGTCTGATTTTTTCTCGCTTTTTCCTGCGACTTATCACTTTGCCTACAGATCAACTAAGAGGATCCGCTATAAAATTTTTGTTGACAAACAACTTTCGAAATTTTATCCACTACCGGATGATTTCATTATCAGACAAATTGGAATCATTAACATAAATCTTGACATAAGACACAACACGACAATCTTTCTTTTGCTTTACAAATGCATGAAACTCAATTATTTCACTTTCAGTAGTTTTCTTTCATTAATTTCGTTCTTTTCCTGCTCATTAATTTTCTTTCTTTCTTACATTCGTTCAATAATAAATTTCGCTGTTTAATTGAAATCGCTGTCGAACATAAATTTCTTAAGAGATAATTGAACGTTTGCAGACAAATAACTGCTCAATTAAGATGTAATCTTGTCTTCTCTTCACTGTCACTATTCCAACATTGTTGCTTTAACACTTTTACTTTTCTTTTGAAGCTCTTTAATGATTGCCAAGTTCAGCTGTGTTGCTGTTATGCTAAACTTGAATGGTTTCTCGCTTTTATTGTCATCAAACACTTTTTTTTCTTTCAGCAATTTTCCATCCTTTCCAATAATTTCTCAGCCACTCAGCTTCACTGTCCAACACCAACTAAAGTCTGAAATAAATTACCCTAAAAAGTCTGTTAACAAGTCAAACGAAAACCAATTCATGACCGTCACAATGAGAGAGTGAGGTGGAAAAAAAATCTTTCACTTTTTGTATTTATTGCTGCTTAAAAGTGTCGAAAATGAAATAAAATAAATTGGCAAATTGCATTTAAACGTGCGATTTTAAGATTTATTTGCGGTCACCAATTTTATATTTCTCTACTTAATCGGTTCTCCTTTCGCACCATGAAACTTCACTTTAAATTATGATTTTCAACGGCGCTTTACGGAATAAAACAAAAGTTATGCAAATGTTTCTCTCATAAACTTATCGCGACGAAGCTAACTCGTGTTTCACTTATTTCGACTCAATTTCGTTTCACTTTTCAAGTTTTCTACGGATAAAAATTTAAGAAAATTCGTTGCGAAATTTATGTCGGGTGAATTAGTTTTTGCTGCAACTTTCGATTGTTAAACAAAATTTAATCTTTTCTCACTTTTCTCGCTCTTGAAAATCTCAAGATTCGAACTTACTCGATCCGACGCACACCGTAAACTGAGCTCAACCGACGGCTCATTAGTCTTGAATTTAAAATATAAAAACTATAAATGAATGAAGTGAAGCGGTTAGCGATATCAACGCGTCATACTCCACAGCATTAAGCTAATAAAGAAATGCTTTCCCCGGACGGGCGCAAAAAACAAACATTAAAAGCTGGGGAAAGTTTTTTTTTCTTCTTTTTTTCATGTTTTATTTTCGTTGCTTAAAACTGTTAAGTTAAAATTATTGACGAGTGTGTGAGTGTAAGAAAGAAAGGTGACCCGATGTGCTTTCTTTAACTGTGAAGATTTTTATTATGTTGAAAGCAGTAACAACACTTAATGCGAGAAGAAAGAAATATTCGCTGGTACAAGAGAGTGAGAGATTCAAGCTAACAGCTGGTTGTTTAATTGTGTTTTGTGTTGATGGAAAAAGCGTGAAAGATGAAGCGAAATAATCGAAATGTAGCAAAAGTTTACAAAGAATTTTCCGACCTTCTCAAAACTTTTCCTTCAACGTCAAAAACATAATCTTTGAATTACAGAAGCTAAATAAATTATTGAATCGAAAAGTCGCATCAAAATCATCAATCAATCATTCAACTCTCGTTCTCATGCTTCCTTGTATCAATCTCATAATCTCTGAAATGGTTAAGTTACGATAAAATGATTACAAACACTTAAACATGTTCAACCGGATTTTTCTGGGCATGGCAATCAATCAACGAACTTCTTTTTCTTTCATCATTTGTCGTCGTTTGTATGAGTTACAAAGCTTACAAGCTGCATGTGAATGAAGGAAAACTGATTTTCAATGTTAACAAATAATCGAATGAAATTTTTATGTGATGTCGCTTGAACTTGGCCTTGCACAACTCTTCTTTTGATGTCGTACCGTTGATTGAATTATTCATGTATTTACTGTCGACTGTCGGTTGAAAGTTGCTCATTGTTATTTGGTTTATGACGACAACATGTAACAAGCCTTCGCCCTCGCCCTTCATAATAAAAAAATTATTTCACAAGACAAACACCCAAAAAAGATTCTTCCTTCTATATCAACAAATTTTACGAGCTGAGTCGATCCCAGAAAAAAAACATTCATTTGCTTCTTAAACATAAATATCTTTATTTTATGCTTAAACTTTTATGTAAATACTTATGTATCCAATAACAAAAAAAAAATCTTTCCAACTTTACGATGATTGTTAGGAAAGCATCAGCAAGATCTAGCTAAACTGCCTCATTGGTCTAGTGGTCAGGTGTCGGCG